GCAAAAAGTTCTACCGAATATGTTTCACATCTCACTTTGATTTTTTATTGGACTTAATAATAAGGGTAAAGTGAGATGTAAAACATCGGTTAAGAGGACAAAATGGGTCACTTTGAGTCGTTTAAGGGGAATATAGGATTTCACTATAATTTCAAGAGACATTATAGCAATTAAGAATTTTTAAAAATATTTTTTCCCCTAGTAAGTGAAGAGTAAAACATGATTAATTCATGAACTTTATTCTTAATCAAACCCAAACCAAAACGGCCATTATAATTGGAATTAACCGTTTTAGTTGGTTCAGCCAAATTGATGCCCCACCCCACCTCTGGTTTCATGCCACACATTCATATTGACCATTTAATACCAAAATCTAAGATCCATAGACCATTCAACAATTGAAACAAGATTTTGTTGTTTTACAGCATAAGATTCTCTTTTATATTTGTTCGATTATTCTACTAATTAGAGGCTTAAACCTAACTAATTCGAAACAGACGTGTGAGTTCACTGTACAGTTTAAGGCGCAAAACCTAATTAACCCAGACCGCGATGAATGTACGATTATGTTCTCCAGGGAAAAGAAAAAAAAATGGCGATGATACAATTGCATCCACACTCTCGGACCCCACTGAATTCTGCATAACATGGTCATCGTTTCCGTGTTCTCAGCCTCCCCATCCTCCTTGAACCTTGTAAGTTTCACCTAACTCTCTCTCTCTCTCTCCCTTCCTCTGGGTCCTGTGTGTTCATTGTTGCCTATTGACTCTGTTGTTTTTGCAGAGTTTTCATTTTGGTCTTGGAAATAACTGGAATTTCAGGACTTTTACAAGATCAAGCGCTTGTCTCTCCCAGGTATATATATATGTTTCAGCACCCAATGCTACTCTCTCTTTCATTTTTCGATACTGCCCAGAAACAAAGTAGAGAAATTAAAAAATTAAAAATTTGAGTTTCACTAGTTCTTATCTATTCGAAAGTAGCAAAACCCTTAACTCCTTTCTGTATTCAGGATACTGATTTAGTAATTTACTCCGAGGGTTTTCTGATTTTCTGAAATAGAAAGAACCCAGTTCGAAATATTGAACTCCTTAGTACCCTTTGGTGACATTGGTGTCCTGTGTTTTTTGCCTCCTCGTATGTCGGTAAAGCTTCCATTTTGTTTCTTCATTTGGTTGGTTTTGCCGTTATACAGGGGATGAGTAACTAGTTGTTCTTAATTTCAATCCCTTTAAGGTTTGATGAATTTGTTTCATAGAATGAGAATTGCCATTATATCTTTAAGGATCACTTAGAATTGTCAATATTGGTCAAAACATATTGGAACTTCCCAAATTTCATGGTGGTTAAAAATTCAGGTGTGGACTGTCACTTGTATGAAATGATCTCTTTGAAGAGGGTGAAATCATTGTCAAGTTTGTTAAGAATCATTGCCAATGAAATGATTTGATTAGCTATCATAAGAGTTATGGTTCAGTGGTTTTTCGATTAAGAGCTGCTTATTGAAAAAAGAAAAGAAAAAAGAAAGCCTGTAGAAAGATTCTTGTATGGTTCTTGTGTTTTTGTTAGCTGCACATTTTTGGCTATAGGCTTTCGGAGCTAGAAACTGATTCCTAAGTATGATTTGTTTAATGTCAACATTTTTTTTCAATGAACTTATGAAACAAGTCTAATCTAGTTCACGATGGATGGAAATTAAAATGAGGATGTCAATAAAGGCCACAGATGGCGGAGGAGATTCTTATGGGTAGTAATGCAAGAGGAAATAATTAGGCATGTCATCACTGTTATTTCAATACTTGAAAGCCCTAGAGGTTGCTCAGATGACACTGGATTCAGTAAGCATAGGTCTTAAGTTCGACTTTCTCTGACCTTGGAGTCTCATAAATTGCTGTAGTGGCGTCTGAACTTACCAGTGTAAAAAGAGGCATTGGAATCTATTATATTTAAATCAAAGAGTGCATGTGCTAATTTATTTTTCAGAAGTTTCTTTGCTCCCTTTTTTTTTGCTGTTGAGATGTCCACATTTGCATCCATTTACTCTTCTAATTTTCTTGCAGGAAAGTAGGAATTTAGAGCCAAACAAGAAGCAAGATAAAACAAGTGGGATAGGGAAAACCAGGTCTGCCACAAAGGATCAGATTGTCATTTCTAACGTTCGGATATCTCAGCGGGGAAGCTCCCCTCCACTTGTTACTGCATTGAAGGCTTCAGCTGAACAAAATGCTGCTACCTTTCACTTCCCTGGGCACAACAGAGGTCGAGCTGCACCATCTTCTTTGACTCAGCTTATTGGTTTAAAACCATTTCTTCATGATTTACCTGAGCTTCCAGAGCTTGACAACCTCTTTTCTCCAAGAGGGCCCATTTTAGATGCTCAACAACAGGCAGCCAGTCTCTTTGGGTCATTGGAGACGTGGTTTCTTGTAGGTGGTACCACGTGTGGAATACAGGCAGCGATTATGGCTACATGTTCCCCTGGAGAAATTTTAATTCTCCCTCGCAATTCACATATATCAGCCATATCTGCTATGGTATTGTCCGGTGCAGTACCCAAGTACATCATCCCTGATTATAATTTTGACTGGGACATTGCTGGTGGTGTCACTCCATCACAGGCAAGTCTACAAGAAATGCTGGTTATGGTTATTACTTCAAAATGAGACTACACAACTACATTTTTTCACTTGTAAATATTTGGTATGTTATTGCTTAATATGAATGTAATGGTTAAAACAATCAGGATAATACAAAAAGTTTCTTTTAACATTAAAAGATGCTAACAGAATTATTATGATGAACTCTTTCTCCCTTTCATGTTACATTATTACCATCATTTTTTGCTGAAATTTCTGTATATGACCCGAAATGGGTGTTATAACAGGTAGAGACAGCAATCAAGGAAGTGGAGAAAGAAGGGCAGAAGCCAGCTGCAGTTTTGGTCACTTCCCCCACTTATCATGGTATATGCAGCAACTTGAGCGAGATAACCCAATTGTGCCATTCTCGTGGAATCCCTGTGATTGTTGATGAGGCTCATGGGGCACATCTAGGATTTCATCCCCAGATGCCAAATTCAGCAATGCATCAAGGTGCTGATTTAGCTGTACAATCCACTCATAAGGTTCTTTGCTCTCTCACACAATCATCAATGTTGCACATGTCAGGGAGTCTTGTAGATAGAGAGAAAATTTCAAGATGTCTTCAAACACTTCAAAGTACTAGCCCTAGTTATCTGCTTTTGGCATCATTAGATGCGGCTAGAGCTCAAATTAGTGAAAACCCAGAAACTATTTTTGGAAAGGCATTGCAATTGGCCATTGAAACTAAGAGTATGATAAGAAAGATTTCAGGTATTTCAGTGCTTGACGCTCAAAGTTTCCCTAATTTCCCTGCGATTGATCCCCTGCGGCTTACCATAGGATTTCAACGGCTTGGCCTATCGGGTTATGAAGCTGATGAAATTTTATATGAGGATCATGAAATCATTTGTGAACTTGTTGAAACCCAGTCAATTACATTTGCAATGAACCTTGGAACATGTAGAGAGCATGTCCAGAGGTTAGTGTCGGGAATAAAGCATCTAGTGGCCGCTTCTGCATCCACTCCGGCTGCTAAAAGGAAGGTCGAAGGTGGTAATTCTGCCCTCTTTGCCGATATAGAAACAAGCTTGATTCCTAGAGATGCCTTTTTTAGTGGTAAAAGGAGAGTGAGTATTGAAAAAAGCCTTGGGGAAGTTTGTGGGGAGCTTATATGTCCATACCCGCCTGGGATTCCAGTAATGGTCCCCGGCGAGACTATCACAAAAAAGGCATTGGATTATCTGCTAGATGTTAGAAGCAAGGGTGCTGTCATCAGTGGAGCTTCTGATCCCCACCTCTCTTCCATAGTTGTCTGCAATATGTAGTGTTTGCTTGGCAGGGAGAAGGTACAGCTAATTTATTTTCTAAAATTTTGTTATGCTTCAAAAAGATCAGCAATCACACATGAAATGGAATGTTGATGTACAAGTTTATTGAACCACAACCAAATTTATTAAAAAAAAAGAAAAAGAAACAAGAAATGCTAGAATCTTACCTTGGCATTCAGATTTTATTGCATGATCAAGTTAGTGGTAAGTTTTCCATGGCATTAGTCAGATCCTGGGTTTTTCTGCCACCATATGATAAAACTGAAACTTATCGGATGTCCAATGGCCCAATTTAGGTCTTGTTTATTGCACCAGCCAAGTTCAGTTAAGTAAGAATATATTGTTTCATGATAATATTACAACAATTTAATATAAAGATTTCCCAAAATCAAAATATATTTGCAAAATGAGTCATGTTCTAACCGGGTTGGCCAGGTCAAAGTTTGCAATTAGCCTGGGCCACTTACTATTGATAGGACAGAATCTTGAACAGTAAAACACATCCACCAAAAAGCACTGATTGAATAATTCCTAAGCCACTTGTCAGTTTTTTTTTTTTTGTGTGTGGTCATAATGCCACTTGTCAGTTCAATACTAGAAAAAGAAATCTTAAAAAGAGGCATTATTTGCATTGCACCCCCAAAATAGCCATTGCTCTCTTCACCATATTTGAGTACATGGAGTGTGGAAGCCACATTTGGAGAATCTACCCAAGAGTTAAATTTCACAATTCATGCTCTGGCACAAGGCATTCAAATGTAAAGATGTAAAGCTGCACAATCATCCGACTCAATTGCATATACATGTGAAATTGGTTTGCCTTACCTCTGACATGGCTAATCAAAAATGGACTTTCTTTCTATGAGAGTTCTTTTTTACACATCACAGGCATGAAGCCTACAAAACCCCCAGACCCCAAAATGATTCTCATGCGTTCAAACCTTTCCTTTTCTTCTTTGGATATACTGTATATAACTTTGTATTATAAGGCAAAACGAGAGAAAACACAAAGAGACATTCAGTCAGCAAATAAAAACGAACTAGACAGCGCTTTGCAGATAAATACGATTTCAAGATTGATCAGACCCTTCTACCTTGACTCCGTGCTACTATATGCATTAGCCCTGTAAATCTTTGATGGAATTCTTGTTGCTCGTTTCTTTGTTGGTCGAACAAAAGGATCAAACAGAGGTGCCTGTGAGTATGGAGAGCATGCTGGCCTACCAAGTTGCGAGTCTGGGGAGTCATCTGGACCAACCCATGCTATGGGACTTACTGCAGCAGAAAGACAACTATTAGTTTTGCGTTTTATTTTTCTGCAAGCAGAGAAAGATACCATCTCTGAAGTAACAGGACGTCTAATCTCAAAGGTCTCTATGTCCCCAAGAAGGAGAAAAATGATAAAAATTCCAGATGGCAAATTATGCATCTCCCTGCCTAAATTTTGTATATCACATTATACTAATTGTCTTAAAGGAAAATGCTGTAGAAACAAACAGATGTGCAGGAACACAATGTACAGGGCATCCCACTCAAGGGTTTTCTAGTTGAACTGCGTAATGTATTGCACAAGTCGAGGTCAATACATAAATGAATCACACTATATGTAGCAGGAAGAATGCATCGGTATATGGGAAGCACAAACACTTTGCAGCATCGCCTAACGAGTGTAAATTTCCAAACACATCAACTCACCAACCTTTCTATGCCCGTTTCAAACAGGTAAGAAAAATATGCAATTCGCTAATTTTCTTTTAGGTGTACTTTAGACTTCGGCAAGCAGGCAACGGTGGAAGCATTTTTACCGACTAGGACAAAAGAAACTAATGGGGTATAAGCATCATCAGGAAACAATGTCATTCCATATCGACTCGGGGAAATAATCTACTGGAAAACATAGCTAGAAGTACAAAACTATGCATTGTATAAGAATTCATACCTTCTGCACCAGGTTCAAGAAGTCTCTTGGCAGTAGAAGAAGCTGTCAAGTGAGCAGGATGCTTCTTCACATAATTATCAGGACGCTTCCTCACATAATCTTCCTGCAAAGGCTTTGGAGTTTGAAACGAGAATTGTGACATAGTAACCCCCGCATCCAGATACTCAGGATGTTGAAGCAAATACCTGAAAAATCAAAACCAGCATAACCATTAATCAAAGAGCTAGCTATGATTGTGAAGAAATCCAAGCTAAGCTAAACAGAAAGACACAAACTTACTTTTGGATCTCCACCGATGATCGAAGTTTCTTGCCTGATGGTGATTCATAGTACCTGAATAAACAAAATAGTTAACTGGGCATGTCACAAAAAGTTGCAAGTTGGTAATGCTTATGAATATGATAAAGGGACATACACGTCTGCAAATCTGGTGCCTCCTTCACCTCTAATCCTCAGCAAGCGTTGCCAGCCGGGTGGGGGCTGAGCAATGTTGGGCTTATCAATTGCCCAGAGCCTGCTTCCATCTTGAGTAATGTCTTCTGGGTCATCACAAGAAACAAAATCCCGCCATTCCCGTGCCGTTTCGCAGTAAAAGGGCTGCTCCAGAACGTGTTCACGAATCTCTTCATACTTTTCCTTTGTTGGGATGAGCCTCCATTTGAAGCAGCTGGCACACTGCACAGTGAAGGCCCCAACAGATGGCAAAACCCTAGGTGGACGATGAAATGGAAAAGGATTGGGCCTGTTCACTTTCTCATGCACTGTAGCTACAGCATTAGCATTAGCATTAGCATTGGCTGTTGCAGGGTCATAGAGCACCAGCTGATGGGAATTAAAATGGGCTTGAATTATTTCATTGTCTGAATCAGATGACGATGAAGATGATGAAGGAAGATGAAGCTGAAGCTGAAGGGACATGTATGTCTTCTTGGGTAAAGCTGTTTTTTTCTTCCCTCCTCAGCTTTTTGAATGTTTATTTTGGTGGCAACTGCGAGAACCCATGGAAAACACAGCAGATCTCAAACAGGGAGAAAAAGAAAAAAAAAAAAAAAAAAAAAAAAAAAAAAAAAAAAAAAAATTTAAAATTTCACTTACATACTATACCATCCAGATTTCAAGTTTCAACAAAACATGCGACGAATTTACAGAGGATGTTCTGATTCTTACGGAGATGAGGATCAGAGATCTGCGACGATGATGATGTTGCAGGGATAGGAATCGAACAGAGCCGTTGGTTCCGAGGAAATGCGTAGATCCTACGGTCGGAGGTCAGGTCGGAGGTCAGGTCAGGGACTGCACCCACTTGAGGTTTTTATCCTTGGTCAGAGAGAAATGGAGAGAGAGAGAGGGAGAGTCCAGAAGGAGATTATTGGCTTCCCGTTTGTGCAAGTAAGGAAAAAATCTGCCTCTGCAAGTTTTTCACTTTTTAATTTTAATTAATTAATTTATTTTGGGGTTTGGGTGACTTCAATTACTACAATTTTTAGTTTAATAAATGCATTTATTATCAAAGGAAAAAGTTCAATAAATCCAATTAGCTAATGAGTAAGAAAGAATTTGGATTTGGATTGGATGTAAATAGCGGATATTGGAGCAAGTTGCACAACCAATGGGATGAAAAGGACTAATTTCAGACAGTAATGCTACGGGTACTAACTCTTTTACTAACTTTTAGTTACCCAAAATTGAAAGTTTTAACTAAACTAAATAAAATAAAATAAAAATAAATGTTTTCAAACGTGCTCATCGAGGATGTATGGTGGTCCTCTGCTGCAGTCACCTTAGTACCCTACCCGCGGGCAGTAATTGTTGGTGTTGGGTTCCGTAGCTATCAACCAAACACATATATTGCAGACTAGGCCGAACAAAAAAAAAAGGAAAAGAAATTGATCTTATGAAATTACAAAGATGAGTATTCCCTGCAGTCAAGGTCTAAAATATCGATGGTATTAAAAATATCGATAGTCCAAAAATACGGATATTTTGATGGAAATATCGGGATATTATCGATATCGATAAAAATTGAATAAAAACCACGGAAATTATAAGAAAAACTTGGAAATTTTTATTGAAACTTTGGAGGATGTTTATTCAGTCAATTATCTATTAGTTTATCACAAAAAATTGGAATAAAATGCATTGCATGATGGGTTTAACTGATTTAAGTTGATTATATAGCGAGCTGACAAACACTGTAAGTGCAAAAAATATGTAGTAATTAATAAAAGAAGATTAAACACATCATAATTATTTATATATAATGATTTACTACAATATTTTACACTTTATACATAGCATGGTAATATATATGAGTGATTTAGTACCACATAGAGTCTTTATGAGGTTCAAATTTTTTATTATCTTCATCATCTCTATGTGTAGAGAAAGTGTATTGTGAAGAGTAGTCATCAAATGATAAATCCCCAAAATAGTTTTGCACGTAATTGTTAACATGCCACCCATATGAATCCGAGATTGGTTGACATATTCCATAAGCAAAATCATTTGAAAGGTCAAAGACTCGCATTCTCATGTGAAAATCTGATTCTTGCAAAAACAATTCAAAACAAAACAACATAAATATACATATTAGCATGTTATCACAAAAACATAAACAACATCGTGGTTAAGACATTGGATAAGTGAAATAGCAAGGGTTTGAATCCCCTTTGAGTGTGTGCTTTGTGTTTTTTTCCCCTTTTTTTCATTACATTGATATTTTCGATATTATTGCGATATTTTGACAAAATATTGCTGAAGTATGAGTGAAATTATCGACATCGATATTTTTCGATATTATTGTCGATATTATTGATATTTATATGATATGTGTATGGAAACGTTCCGAAATATCCGTAATCCGAAAAAACGATAATATCCTCGATATTTCGTCGATATTATCAATATTTTATACTATGCATACAACTGATATTTTTCTTTTCTTTCATGTAATAGTAAATTTGATGGTGTTTCTCTAAAGGGGGGGGGGGGGGGGGGGGGGGGGAGAGAGAGAGAGAGTCAAAGCACATACAAACGTTTAGTTTTTATTAAGGGCATAAATGACACATGTCATGAGGGAAAGAGAGAAGATTGGAGAAAACGTTTAGTTTTTTTAACTTCAAGTTTAGACTTTTTTTTAAAATTAAAAAAAGAGAGGACATTTCCTCTTTTTTTAAAAGCAAACATTTTCTTTATAAAAAAAAATAATTGACGTTAAAAAAAATTTAATAAGATGGTAAGAAAGTTGTGAATTTTTTATAGATAAATTGAATACAATTTAATAAGGGTAAACTTGGAAAGCAAAAGTTAATTTGTATAATATATTAATGACATTGTTTTAAGTGTAAGGAGAATGACACATGTCAAGCAAAAAATGGAGAAGGTTGCTAGCATTCCCTTTCAAAATAATATATCAAAATAATAATTGACATATTAACTTTATGCTATTATTTACTCTTTTTAAAATCCTCATGCATCATATGGGCCCATTTATTTTTAAAAATATAATAAAATAATATGATATTTGACATTTTGGGTGAAGATAAATTTTTTCCAAAGTGTCAAATTGCCACATAAGCTATAACATTTTGCATTTGACATGGATAACAATTTTTTTGATGCATTCTCACCCATTGCTATGGCAACCCAATGACAACTACTATTCGCATGAGATATGAGAATATGAATTTATATGGATTTTAGGAGTGTGAAGTGAAGAACATAACTAGATATTTATAGAAAGAAAAAAAAATTTGGTATTTTTCCTTTTTTTTCTTCAATTTTTTTGGGTATTTAAATTGATCGCTAATGTCAGCATGACATTAGATTGTTGAGGCAACAGCCCAAGCAAGTCTTGCCCAGTTTCATGGGTGTTGAGGCCCAAAAATCTAGGGTTGGGCCCAAATAAATTCTTGGCCCAACATAATGCCTTATTAAGAAAAAGACTCGATTCGGAGCATGCAAAATTCCTCATTCATGCTTGCACAAGCCATGACCACATGCCATGCCAAATAAATATGCAATCTCTCATGCTAAGAGTTGAAATAAGCACTGACTCTACGAGCCCATGCTAATTACCTCATCAAGCGTCATGCCTCTATTCAAGGACGATAAAATTAAAACACGCCGATTGACATGCCATGCCAAGCATGAAATTATTATTTCACAACCAACCACGTTACAAGCTTAAGTGGGCCCAAGCCACGCAAATGTCCGGGGCTTGCTTGAGTGGGTTGTGGTATGGATGGTAACAAGCTTTCATGAGGCCCATTGATGAGCCAAGAAATGGAAGTTTTGGGGTGCTTGGGAGCCCCAAAATTCAAGCCCATTTCTTGAGCCCAAACACATGGGCTAGCATGAGAGAGAGAGAGAGAGAGAGAGAGAGAGAGAGAGAGAGAGAGAGAGAGAGAGAGAGAGAGAGAGAGAGAGAGAGAGAACATAACCCAATGCCTTAGAAAGAATACAATAGCTTGTTTAGAAAACCTTATGTTAATTAGAGCACCCAAACACTTTGTCAAAAACACTTCTAGCAGCTTGACGAAAACCCATTAGATGCTGGAGATAACACGCTGATAACCCAACACTGTACATACAAGCCCAGCCCAAAGCCTTATTAAAAATCTGGCATCGTGCTCAATCCTTGCTAGGATTCCAAGACGGTCAAACAAGGAACCATGGCAGGAACTAGTGGAAATCCATGTGTGAGAGACGAATACCCATCGGACAAAGAACTCCTCCCATCTCTTTTTCCTCTGCAAGCTCCATCTTGAAAACCATGAGAGAAAGCAGGTGGCGCCTCCCCCCTTATGGAAAAGTTCAGCTGCGTCAAACTCTTGGAACCACAAAGGGTTCCTTACCCATGCTCATTGGATAGGAGAATTTCACCAAATTAGATTAAGTAGGAAGAAACGATGAAAAGGGGAAGGAGAAGTTAGATGAAATTAGGGTTCTTCCAGCCTATAAAAGAGAGCCTCATCTACCCAGAAAACTATCCACAGCCTAACCCATCTAGAGCTTGACCAAGCTTTGTCAAGCAACTGGAAATTCACTTAATCCACATCCAGAGAGCAAGCTTCCTCTCTTGCTTCCAAAACCCAGCAATTTCGAGCCCTATTCCTCCATGCTTCTTCTACCTAGCAAAATAACTCATCCAAGGCTTGACCACGCTTTGTCAAACAAATTGGGAATTTTGCTCAAGCCACCCAATTCTCTCCTTCGTTTGTTTTCCTCTTCCCTTAGGAAAGAAATCTGTCTAATCTTCCTCTGTTCCACTTTAACCCTTTGTTCACTGTAAGAAACTCACGCTTATCTCTCTCTGTTCATGCTAAACTCATGATGGTTTTGCTCCCATGCCACAAGCTCCTCATGCTAAGCCATTAATCGATTTATCATGCTTATTTGGTGTTAGTGAGATGAACCTAAGAGTGTTTTTCTAAAGTCTCATCAGATTTTATAAAAACCCTTTTGGGAGCTTGGTTTCGAACTCAGGCTTTTGGGGAATTTTTGTTCGTTGTCTTCTTACGGCAGCCCAAGCCCATTCGTCAGGCTGCTGGAATAAAAACACCCCTACAATGGGCTCACTTCTTGCCATGACAATTTTTCCGTAGGTTGTTTTTGGGCCTAGGCCCCCTTTTGCCACCATGTCAAAAGGGGATGGGTGGAAGTGCTCTAAGTGAGAGTCTTCCCACACGTGCTATATGGAAGATGGGCCTCACCTTTTGATTGGGCTTGGATTATATGACACCCTCACCATAAAATTTCACATACAGATTAATATTTAATAATCATAGATAAAGTCTTGGGTTAATACTACCTAAATGGACCTAACCTAAACGTCTCATAATTTTGTCGTGAGAGACCTACTTCGGAGAAATTTTTGTATCCCGACGAACTTTGACCCATATTACTAAGGCCAAACACTAAATACTCCAATGTTAACATGTGAATTCATCAACTTGCATAGGATATAGGGAGAAAAAAAGCAATTCGAAGAAGTAAGCAAAACCAAATTCAGCAGCCAAAGCATCAATCCATCAGTGAGGTGAAACCATGAACGTAGATGGAACATGAGCGCAGTGTATCAAACTAAACAAATGCTTTAAATAGGAAAATGAGAAGTCAAAATTTCTTGAATATCTAGACATTCAAGAAGGTGCTGCTGCCATCTATTGACCAAAAATTACAACAACACAAGTCTCGTAGGCTAGAAAAAATCACACCTTATAAACACAGCACAACTGTCAACTATTACAATGGAATTCCATTCCAATTGCTAAGTGATGTAAATAAACACTAGACGGAGTCCTTCGCAAAGAGTAGTTAAAGAATGCATTCTGAAGAGAAACCAAACTAAAACAGACTCTGACTAGAATCTTCCCTGGGGATCATTAAATCCTTTATCTTGCATCACTAAGTCACATATGCTAAGAAAATGGGGCTAATAAAACTGGAGTTCAAGTACAAATATGTGAAGTGTTTGTTTATATACAGGAATGAGGAACAAGCAGTACACTCATACAAATTTCCAAAAACTAGTATGAAATGAAATGAGCAATGAAGGTATGGTTATACGATGAAGCTCAGAAACTTCAATCAACATAGGGGTGAATATATAGTGATCAGATGCAGACAGGAGATGATATCATTCATCTGAATGGATTTACAAGCAGCAATAGAATTATTAGCAGCGAAGGTTTCACCTTATATAGTTCAGACACTGTTATTGTTTACAAACATACACGTGAGCAATCAAATTTGAACAAACTGATGCAACATAGACATATACTGTATCACACTTCTCAGTTATTAAAACATTTGAGCAACTGCTTTCTGCAAAGTTCAAGTTTACAAGCATGCATTGCTTTATGATCACATGCATTGTAAAAAACTAAACAGTAGAAATAAAGATAGCCAACCAAAACTGAAAACAGAAAATGCACCATAACAGAGCAGACTCCAATCTATTGAGAGGCAGAATAAACCGGACACATTTCCTGTTTGAAATGAACTAATCTCCATATCATATTATAATACAGGCCAGATATCAAAAGGACAGCCAAATTTTTTTTAAATAAAATAAAATCTGACCAAAGTCTCTTTGGTTTCACTTGTAAAAATTTCATTTGTGGAACCAAACAAGGTTAGAGCTTCTGGTTTAGCCTAATGGCAGAACTAAGGAAGGATCCCTCTGAATCAAGCCAAACAGAGGATTTTATGGTTTCGTCCAAAAATTGTAATAAACAGGACACTTAAGAAATTTTTTGTACTGTAATAATAACATCCTCAATGCCTCATATTGGCTATCAAGATATAATTCTACTAGCAAATATGAGACAGGCCAGAAATAATTATCTTGAAAGTCTACAAGGCTTATAGCACCAAAATGAGCTACAAGAACATCAAAATATATATAGAACTGCAACCGCAACAACTACTTTTCTGATCATAAAAGGGAAAAGTCTAAGTTGATAGACAACATTACTGTTTTCTGAGAGTTCATATGCATATGAATTCTTAGAAAATAGAATGAAGAATCACACTCGTATTCTAGGTCTCAAATTGTTCATTCATGAACCTGAAGACAAATTACTTACAGAAAACAAAACATTTGGTACCCCAGAATCAAATAACAAACCAACAAATGCAAGCAGACAAATTGTAAGGGAGACAACGGGAGACAGCATAGAATCTTACAAGTAAGCAGTCAAATTGCTACAAAAGAACATCAAATAACAGAGAATTAAAAAGCCATGCATGAATAGTAAGACATAAATTTAAAATCTAATAAGATTATTTGGAAGCACAAAGCCCAAATTTTTATATATTCAATAAATTCAACTACAAAGGCAAAATCCTCATTGAAAAGTGCCCATTCGTCAGTTTAAGCAAAAGCATACATAAAATTCCTTACACCCAATTACTAAAGCTAATACCTCCGTAACATGTAGAACAAAACCCTAAACAGTAACCTGAACCATAAGATGTAGATTCGACAAATAGGCACCGAACCATAACCCACTAGAGATAATACCAAAAACCCATATTGGAATTTGAAGAATCCAAACCGATCAGATCAGACGGGGCTGAGAAGCTGAGAAAGCTGTGGCTTAGGCTCCGAGTTCATGCCGATGACGATGATCAGGGGAATAAAGCCATAGTGGGTGACGACCTTGGCCTTCTTCATGGCCCACGTGCTCCACTCCTTCACGGACTGGGCCACCGAGCGCTCATCAGAACCTTTGGAGCCCTTATTCGTCGTTTTGCCCTTGCTCTTCAGAGTAACCTTCGACGCCATTGAAATTTTCGTCTGTAGTCTGTGTGTGCTGGCCTGTCTCAAACCCTAATTATAAGGTTTTTGTTTCCTCGGAGTTTGGGGCTATGAAGTGTCGTAAATGTGACGCGTCGGGTGCTTATAATATAGCGTCCATCATAGCCGTCGTTTGTTTCTTGCCCTCCACAAACTTCTAATTTTTATCCTCTAAATAAATATCTAAATTTTGTAATAGGTTTTTTTTTAAAGAAAAAAGAAAAACGTAACTTATCACGTTTTTGTTGTCTTTTAAAAGCTTGAGAAGAGAAGAAAAACAGCGATTTTTTATTATTTTAATAATGCTACTCTTATCATATTTGTATACCACATTTTTATACCATCTTATGTTGCAGCTAAGGTGGATATCCACATCAATTAAAATTATTTAATATTTTCTTTTCTTTTATGATTTATTCCAGTATTTGTTTTTCTAATTGTCTTAATTAAAATACACTTAATTGATTTAATTGATGTGGCATATAATATGGACATGCCACATCATGTGGTATAGAAATGTGGGATAAAAATGTGGTAAGTGTAGCATTACTCTTTTTTTTTTAGTCCCTTGAGAACTTTCCTGGAATGCGCTCCACGTGTGACGAATTGCTCTCTGTTCTACAGTCGTCGACTGGTTCTCACTAGAAATCGGCCCTTGCGGCGATTTTTGGTTGTTCTTCTCTTGGTGCTTGAGTGGGTAACGCTGTAACTTCCTCCGGTCATGGAGGAAGGCTCTCCTGGTGTTTTCCTTAAGAACTATCGACTGACAAAACAAGTTCGAGCTTCTAATGACAGTGAGCATGACACAGATCTAGTGGGTGAGTCCGATCCGATCCCAATGATGTCAACTGATGCAGGGGAAGGCTCCGACCAGGTACCTCATTCAGATTTTGGGGTGGCAAGTTTTAGGGATAAATTGATGAATAAGGTGAACATGAATCAGAATGTGGGCATCGATATTGACTCCTTAGATGCTGATTATGAGGACCTGAATGATGCGGATGATGTGGTCATTTCTCGTGGTGAGCGTGACCCAAGTATTCAATTTTCAGACAGAGCAATGGATCGATTCTGTAAACCATGGCAGAATGCTCTTATTGTGAAATTGCTGGGGCGATCTCACACATATAACTATCTTCGTGGCAGATTGCAGCAAAATTGGATCCTGAAAGGGGAATGAAAGCTTATTGACTTAATCAATGATTATTTTGTGGTCAAGTTTGAGCTTGAGGAGGACCTAAACTTTGTTCTCATAGGTGGGCCTTGGATAATCGCAGGGCAGTATCTTGTTATGCAAAAATGGAGGTCTGGGTTTTGCCCTGCTACTGCTCATGTCACTCGAATGGCTGCTTGGATAAGAGTGTCTGCGATTCAGCTGGAGTGTTTTGATGTATGGTCCTTAAAGAGAATTGGCAACCTCTTAGGGAAATTACTCAAGATTGATTCCCTTACCACTTCATAGAATCGTGGTAAGTTTGCTAGACTGTGTGGAACTTGATCTAACCAAGCCACTGGATGTCTTTGTTTAAATTAATCAGAATTGGTACAATATTGAACATGAAGGATTGCCTGATATATGTTACTTGTGTGGGATGTATGGGCATAAACGAGAGCATTGTAGTTTGAAAGAGCAGAGGGTTGAAGCGTTGGGTGAGGAGCATCCAGTTGTAGGAGGACAAGCTAATTTGGGCTTTGGTTTTATGGAACCTATTCAAGGGGATACTGATCTCGAACAGAGTTTGCGTGGCCCCTGGATGAATGTTGCTCCAAGAAGAAGACCTAAGGCTGATGTTAAAAGTGATGGGAGGAGGGAGTCTGGTGCTAAATCAAAGGGATCGAGGTTTGATACTCTTAGAACGGTAAGTGAGAACTTTGGAAGGGATGATGGTGAGACTAGGCTGGAGGGGAATAAGGGTTCTGTTAATGCTAATGATGTTGCTTAGTTTAGTTTTGCACAGGGTAATAAGACATGGACTAAATCTAAGAATACCAAGTATGGTGGTACCAGACATGCTCTCAATGATATTTCTAACAAGACTACCAAGGATATTAATGCAAGTGATGGGAGTGTTTTGATGGCTTCTCTCCCTAGTCAAGCTAAGTATGGTTCCTTTCATAGTGCTCGAACAAAGATTGTGGATGGTAAGAAGGTTGTAGCCATGACTCCCGTTTCTGAACAACTTGATAGTTGGGGCCATGGTCAACATATTCAAAAAGATACAGGGGTGTATATTTTTGGCCACCAGCCTCCGAATATTGAGCCATTGGATGTAAAGATTCAGAAAGGCTCCAACTTTGAAAGTGTGGATGCTATCTTGCATTCTGATGATGATGATAGTGGGAATCAATTTGAAAAAATGGATCTCTCTGAAGGTCATATGGACTCCATTGGTGGACAAGTGACAAGGGATGCTTTCAACATTGTTGAAGGCATGGCTTCTGATATGTAAGTAAGGGTTTAGCCTTTGGATTTCCTCATTTTATTTGCTAGTTCTAATGAATGTTGTTTGTTGGAATGTTCGAGGTGCAGCTTGCACCAAGTTTAAAACTAATATGCAGGACATGATTAGTACCCATCATATTGATATGTTGTTCATCTGTGAGCCTCGCATTTGTGTGCAGAGAGCTTTGAAAGTGATTTAGACTTTGGGTTTTAAGTGTTTTGAAGTTGTTGATGCGATTGATTTTTCTGGGGGATTATGGCTGCTATGGAATGATAATAAAGTTACTGTGGAAATTGTGGGTACTTCTAATCAATCTATTTCGGCTTGTGTTTCTTGGCCTGGTCAGCCCCCTTGGATGTTTACTGCTATCTATGCTAGCTCTAGCAGGGTCAAAAGAGAAAAGTTATGGGAGTATCTTACGTTTGTTGCGGAAAGTCATGAATTACCATGGTTACTAGCTGGAGATTTCAATGACATTCTATCTATTGATGTAAAATTGGGAGGGGCCTTCTCTGGTAGGTCTATAGGTTTTAAAGATTGGTTTGACAATCAGGAGATGCTGGATTTGGGTTTTGCTAGACCCAAATTTACCTGGACAAATAAACGTGTGTTGGAAAGGTTGGATAAAGCAATCTGTAATGTGAAGTGGAGAAGGCTATTTTCTAATGCCAATGTGAGACATCTCCCTCGTACAAAGTCTGATCATAGTCCCATTAAATTTGCTTGCAATCTTGCTTTAAGGCCGACCCCCTTAAAAGACCCTTTCGGTTTGAAGCTATGTGGTTAAAGCATGAATGCTTTGATGACTTTATTTCTGAAATTTGGGATAATACAACTGGTTCTGCTATGAAGAAAATCCTTAAATTAGTTAAGCCTCTTAAAACTTGGAACGCTCAAGTCTTTGGCCATTTAAGACATAAAAAAAGCAAGATTATTGGCTAGAATTCACGGCATCCAGTAGACTCTATGCAAAGGGCCTAATAAGTTTCTTAGCAATTTGGAAGGTTGTCTTATTACTGAATTTAATAATGTTTTGGATCAAGAATCTTTGTTTTGGAAATAGAAATCTCGAGTCTAATGGTTGCAGGATGGTGATAGGAACACTAAGTTTTTCCACCTCACTACTGTTGTTCGGAAAAGGAGGAACAAGATTGAGAGACTGAAGGATAGCAATGGGGATTGGGTTGAAGATGATGAGGGAATTAAAAGATTGGTTGTTGAGTACTTTCAAGGGCTATTTAATCAAGATGCAGATGCTCATACTGCGATTTATCAATCTTTTTCCTAGCCTTGCTTCTGTTGATTTGGAGGGGCTGTACAAATGCGTTGATTTGTTTGAAGTCAGAGAAAGCTTATTTGGTATTGGTAGTCTTAAAGCCCTTTGGGCTGATGGGTTCCCTGCGTGTTTCTATCAGAGCCAATGGCATATTTGTGGCCCTGCTATTTTTAATATGGTTCAGCAAGTTTTTATTGATTGTCAGATCCTAGATAAGCTTAATGCCACCTTAATTACTTTGGTGCCTAAGGTGGCCAACCCTCAAACTATGATACAATTTAGGCCTATTAGCCTTTGTTCCACTCTTTACAAGGTCATATATAAGATTATTGTTGCTCGCCTCAGGCCTATTTTGCCCAAGCTAATAAGCCCCAATTAGGTTAGCTTTGTCCCTGACAGGCATATCACTGACAATATCCTTATTGCTCAGGAACAAATGCATAACTTTAAAAATTCAAAAGGCAAGAAGGGTTTTATTACTTGGAAAATTGATCTCTCCAAGGCTTATGATAGATTGAATTGGAACTTTATTGAGCATGTGTTGGTGGAGTTGAGGCTTCCTGTTGATTTGGTTCGTCTGATCAAGAGCTGTGTTACTATTGTAAGGTATCAGCTTTGTGTTAATGGTGAGTTGACTACTCCTTTTGTGCATCTGAACGGAATTAGGCAGGGAGATCCCTTATCCCGTATTTATTTGTGTTATGTATTGAAAAGCTCTCACATATTATTTTTGATGCTGTCGAAAAGAAGAAGTTGAGACCTGTCAAATTGTCTTAGTCAAGTCATGCTGTTTCCCACCTATTTTTTGTTGATGATTTAATTCTTTTTGCTGAGGTTAGCTCCAATCAAGCTAGAGTTATGAGAAGTTGTTTGAAGTTGTTCTGTCATGCTTTTGGGCAGGTAGTTAATTTTGAAAAATCTGCCATTTATTGCTCTCCTAACACTTGTAAGGAGCTTGCTAAGGAGATTAGTTATATATGTGGTTCACCCCTTACCAACAATCTTGGAAAATACTTAGGAATGCCCCTATTACATTCTAGAGTCACGAAAGCTACTTATGAATCTTTGGTGGATAAGGTTAAGCACAGGTTGGCCTCTTGGAAAGGTAAATTTTTATCTCTAGCTGGTAGAGCTACCTTTATACAAGTTGTTACTACTTCCATTCCTATTTATGCTATGCAAACTACCAAATTACCTGCTACTGTGTGTGATGATTTGGATAAACTCAATCGAAACTTCTTTTGGGGAGGAGGAGAGAAAAAGCAGAAGATCCACTTATGTCAATGAGATCTGGTTTGTAGGCCTAAATCCAAGGAAGGTATGGGTTTAAGAAGACTGCTGCCATGAACCAAGCTATGTTGGTTAAAATTGGGTGGAGAATGCATAGCAAGGATAAGGGCTTGTGGGCTAATATTTATGAAAAAAGTATATGCAGGGTTCTACTATTCTTGACCCTTCTTTAAGGTCTAAGCAAGGCTGCTCCAGTACTTGGAGAAGTATTCTTCATGGGACTGCCTTGTTATCTCAAAGGTTAGCTTGAAGGATAGGAAAATGGGATTCTACTCTTTTCTGGACAGATAAGTGAGTCACTAATGCGCCTCTGGCTCAGCAAGATGGGGTGTTGCAGGTGACTGGTTTAGATTGTGTTGTTTCTGATTTCTCCAAGAATGGCTGGTGGGATGTTAACAAATTACGCTATGCTCTTCATGATGATCTTGTTCAGAAAATTCTTAATGTGCCTGTTGGTTTCATGGGTTCTATCCCTGATTCTCATATTTGGAGGCCTTCTCCTAATGGAGTCTTCTAAGTTAAAACTGCCTATAGGCTGTTCTTTGAAAGTCCTTGGTGGCCTGATTACGATTGGAAATTTTTATGGAGCCTCAGGATCCCTCATAAACTACATTTTTTCTTATGGCTGACTGTCTAAGGAAAACTTCTTACTAATGAGTAGAGAGTTAAAAGAAATCTAGCTGGGGATTCGGCTTGTACTGTCTGTGACTATCCTACTGAATCTATTTTGCATATATTTCATGACTGTAATTGAGCCAGAGATGTCTGGAATGATTTGCTTATCTCTCCATCCAATTTTTCTTTCTTCCAGATGGATTTCAAATCTTAGCTCAAGGCTAATTTAATGTCAAAGCTTAAGTGGCAGGCTGATATTCCTTGGTATCTGGTGTTCATTGCTGCTTGTTGGCATTTATGGAAGTGGAGGAACAAATCCATTTTTTAGCTTGAGGATGAGTTGCCTGTTAACCCCAGACACAACATCTTGGTTGCTGCCCATGAATGGTTAATGACCTCCCAAATCTTACATAAAACCAGTGCTAGAATCCAGGTTTCCCTGGCATGGGTGCCACCTAGTCTTGGGCAGTATAAGCTGAATGTTGATGGAACCAGGAAAAGTGCTTCTGGATGCATTGGTCCGGGGGGAGTTATACGTCATTCCTTTAGGGATTGGACCTGCAGTTTTGCTGCTAATCTGGGCAAAGATCAGATCATTGAGCTGAAATGTGGGGCTTTTTTTTTGGGTTAAGGCTTGTTGAGGATAGAGGTATTCGTAATCTGTTGGTGGAAATGGATTCTGCTATAGTTGTTAAGTTGGTGAGGAATGCTACTACTCTTGGTTTACATCCTATGGCGTCTCTGGCTTCTAGCTGCTAGGAGCTTATGGGAAAGTTTGATGCCTGTGCTCTCCATCACATTTATAGAGAAAGAAATGTGGTTGCTAACCAGATCGCTCAGTGGAGCTACAATCTAGATTTAGGTGTTTGTCTTCTTGATATGGCTCCAAGTTGGATTGGTGCTAGCCTTGTTGATGATTTGCTTGGAGTCACTAGGACTCGGCTAGTCTGTAGTTAGTAGTTGCTGTGTGTCCTTGGGGTTTTACCCCCCAAGTTCATCAAAAAAAGCTTGAGAAAGACAATGCTTATTTCTTAAAAAAAAAAAAAAAAAAAAAAAAAAAAGAGAGAAGACAATGCTTAAAATTACAAATTGTTACACCATTGATTTGCATGTTCGTCAAATTATAATGATGCCAAATTGCGTCTGTTTGGGATTGCTTTTGGGAGAACTAAAAGTGCTTTTTGACAACCAAAAACGTTTCTGGCAAAAAAATGTTAGAAGTGATTTTAGGTCGTGGAAGCGCTTTCTGGAAAAGCACATGCTATGTGTTTCTTCAAGAAGCACTTGGATTTCTTATGAAAATTTCATCATCTTCATAATAAAAGCGCTTTTATGAGAAGCGCTTATGAACAAAAGTGTTTTCTAAAGAAGCAGTCCCAAACAACATGGACAATTTTTCGTCTTTATATCTTAGAAGGTTAAGATTTTCTTTATTAAAAAAAACTTCTTATTTTTGGTCCATACGGCATCTCTACATCCAGGTGTGATGGATTTAGCGTCATATAAGCAAAACAATTAGCTAATTGGAGTGTTATACTTTTAAAAAACAAAGGTTAATTTCACAAGTAGTCTTTGTTTTTATCAACAGGGAGAAAGATTTGAACTATGATGCAATGGGGCAAACTCACCAATCTGACCAACTGGCCTAACCTATATATACAACAAGTAACTAATTAAGCGTTATGTTATACCATAATCTAAGAAATCTCCTTTGGTTTCGTTTAATTTCTTCACTTAATTTAGCTCAAACTAATCAAATTGCAAACCCAAATCATAAACAATGGACCTTATGCCCTTGTATAGGATTTATGTCAAGGGCCATGGAACCATCGCATAAACAATGGACCTTATGCCCTTAGATGAGGCCCAAGTCGCGTAATTTCCAAATGAGTCTTTTCTTGTGTTTTACTTTTGAGCCGAAATTTTTTCTTTATAATAGAAAAGGAAAAGAGATGTAATTTTTTTAGATTATGTTTTTCAGCCAAATTCACTGAAATCTTCGTACAAATAGAAGCTCATGTTATGTTATTGGTAGGTACAAAGAAAAAAAACATTATTTGAGTAAAGTACTTTCAGAAAAAAAGAAAAGAAAAAAAAGCTGAGGTGTGGGAATTGGGTTATCGACGCAGCCAAACGGTGGATAGATGGACATACGCATAGCTGAGCATTTCAATTGAAAGGAAAGCTAAATTAGAAGAAAGAGAGACTGAGAAAGAGAGAGAGAGGGAGAGGGAGGGGCCAGTCGAAAGCAGAGGAGGAGAAGCAAAAATGGGGGGAGGAATGGAAGCAAACAAGAACAAGTTCATAGAGGAGTGGGGCTCAGCCAGAGAAAATCTCGAGCACAACTTCCGCTGGACTCGCCGCAACTTTGCTCTTGTTGGCATTTTCGGCATCGCCATCCCTATCTTGGTCTACAAGGGCATCGTCAGAGATTTCGTAACTTTCTCTCTCTCATTTGTTTTCGTTTTGGAAATTAATCTGTGGATCCGTTTGAAATTGCCCAATCGATCGTAATATGCTTCAAGATCTTTCTCTTAATTCGATTTCTGGTTATCGAATTTGGTATGGTATCTCAACAGCTAGCCTCAGCTCTTTTTTTTGTTTTAGTGATTGTTTGACTTTTAGGAAATCAATTTTCTCAAATTATGATGTTTAAACGTTTGGGTTTGGACCCAAACTATATTTTGGGAAATAAAAGGCATTTCTTGTTTGGGGTTGTAGAAAGTGTAGAATCATCATTTGTGAAGCGTTTGTGCTAAATTTTTTGGGAACTTTTTGGGGGTTTTACCACTCTGTCATAACATTTGGCTTCAATTTTTGGTAGGGCTTTGTAGGAGGAGTTAAATGTATACTGAAAAGCCTTATTGCCTAGTGAAATCATAAGGAAACATGATTGAGTCCCATGCTCACTCAGTCAGATTTGACAGCTGTAATGTTCTGAGTTTCTAGAGCATTTCTTTGGGTTTTTAATTCTCCTGTACATTCTGTTGGAGGAATGCCTCTAATATTTTTCTTCCTCTGGAGTCTTTGTAAGTAATTAATGTAGATAATCGAAAAGGTCTCTCTAGTCAGATTTGAAAGCTGCAATGTTCTGAGGTTCTAGAGCATTTCTTTGGGTTTTTAAATCTCTTGTACATTCTGTTGGAGGAATGCCTCTAATATTTTTCTTCCGCTGGAGTCTTTGTAAGTAATTAACTAGATAGATAGTCAAAGAGGTCTCTCTACGGGAGTAAATATTTTGGTAGGAACTGGGCTTTAAGGCCTTAATCAAATGTCATGTTAAAATCATATTTTTTTCTTTTAGTTAGAGGGGTGGGGAGGAAGTAACTAAACCCTAATACCTCTTTATATTAAAAGGTATGGTTGCTACTACTAGCTAGTATCAGCTCTTGTGAAGCAGTTGCCCTTTTGCGACATTGGTGTCATGAAATACTTTTTTTTTTGTTCTAATTTGTTCATTGGTAACCAGTTGGAAAATTCCTGATATCAGTTTTGTTGCAAAGTCATGTCCTTTGTCCAACTTCTTTATCTCCCTTGGCCTAGTGGTATCTATTCTCATTGCACACATTGTTCCACTGTCTATTCATTGTTAGAGCTTTCTGATTGTCCATGTTTACAAATTCAATTGTACTTATGACAAAGATGAATAGATGGAAGGGTAAAGGTTCAAAGTAGTCTGTTGCATTCAAATACTAAAAATTAATAGTATAAGATAAGATTAATCTTAAATCCTAGGCACTAATCTGTGAAATAAAAGGCATTTCTTGTTTATACTTTCGTCTAGGTTTTTTGTTGGGGTTAATATGGCTTTGGGGGTTGTAGAAATAGTGTAGAATCATCATTTGTGAAGCATTTGTGCTAAATTCTTTTGGCACTTTTTAGGGCTTTTATCAAATTCCATGCTGTCATAAAATTTGGCTTCAATTTTGACAGGGGTTTGAATTAGGAGTTAAATGTATACTGAAAAGCCTAATTGCCTAGTAAAATTAGAAGGAAATATGATTGAGTCCCGTGCTGACTCAGTGAGATTAGAAGGCTGCCGTGTCGGAGTTTCTAGAGCATTCATTTGGGTTTTTAAATCTCTTGTGCATCTGTTGGTAGAATGCCTCTAATGTTTTTCTTCCACTGGAGTCTTTGTCAGTAATCAACATAGATAATCGAAAAGGTTTCTCTATGGGAGAACATATTCTCGTAGGAACAAGGGTTTAAGGCCTTAACCAAATGTCATGGTAAAATATTCTTCTTCTTCTTCTTATTTTTTTATTTTATCCTTTTTTTTCCTTTTAAAAGGGGTGGGGGGAAGTAAATTCCTTTGAGCTGATCTCCGTTAGTTTAATGGTTTTTCTGTTTCTTGTCAGTTGCCATCTTATATTAAAAGGTCTGGTTGCTACTACTTATTAGTATCGGCTCTTGTGAAGCAGTTGTCCCTTTGAAACACTGGTGTGTTGAGATGCGTCTCTTTTTTTCTTTTTTTCTTTTTTTCTTTTTTTCTTTTTTGTTCTGGTTTGTTAATTGGTAATGAGTTGCCAAATTACTGATATCTGTTCTGTTGCAAAGTCATGTCCTGTGTCCAACTTCTTTATCTCCCTCAGCCTAGTGATATCTATTCTCATTGCGTACGTTGTTCCACTGTCTATTAATTGTTGCAGCCTTCTGATTTTCCATGTTTACAAATTCAGTTGTACTTGTGACAAAGATGAATAGATGGAAGGGTAAAGTTTCAAAGCAGTCTGATACATTCAAATACTAAAGTTAATAGTATAAGATAAGATTAATCTTAAATCCTAGGCACTAATCTGTGTAACTATCCCTGGTATTTGCCTGGATTTTATTGTTGATTAGTCATTCATATGCATCTCTGTCATTTTAGTTCTCCTTAAATTTTCCGATTACGGGCTATTTGTTTTACGCTTTTTCTTCTTTCTTTTTCCTTGTCATATAATTTGGATGCTGACGTTGGAGTGTGTGTACACACTCACCACTCAAACAATTTGGCCATTCCAGTCTTGCAATTAATTGATTGGGATTCTAACAGTTTGTTTTCTATGGTGACAGCACATGCAAGATGAGGATGCAGGCAGACCATACAGGAAGTTTCTATGACTTATCCAAGAATGTTTGACAATAACTGTGGGACTAGTGGTAACATTCCCTATGGGACCACAAATTTCCCTTTCCTGGTAGAGGGGAAGTATTTCCTTTTCTTTGTTGATCTACGGAACGTAATACTACCAGAATTTGCATTGTTGTTGAATTGTATTTGTCTGTTACGAATACTGCACGGTCAATGTTAAACTTCTGTCTTTTTAAATACTTTATCCAGTTTGGTTTATCAGAATTCCTGGATCCCCATTTATGCATGACCTTTCTCAGTCTCCTTGTTCCCTTCTGCTCAAATAACAATCAAATTTGAACCCAGAAACCAACGGCTGCTGGCAATCCAACTCTACCAAGCAAAATACATACCATGTAATGGGTACTCTTTTTCCGACAAGAAAGTAATGGGTACTCTTAAACCGTCAGGATCGATACTGACCATTCAAATTAATCTTCCTCCGATTCCAACACTAACAGTTCTGCTGTTGTCTAGAGGTTGTGTTTATACGGAGATGGCCTCCAGACTGCCCAAAATAAGAGATATCATAAGGGTTGACAAAAACTGAGGCATGGCCATTGATTGGGTTGAAGCATTCTTTCTCTACATTGAAGTATAGGGTGGTCTGCTCCTCACTGTACCAGTGAATTGCACCCCTGCAAAACACAAGGGCCTGGAAATTTGTTGTTTTGGTTGGATGACAACGTATTGGAGATGGGTTCCAAGTGTTGGTCTGGGAACAAGACTTTGGTAGACAGAAGAACATGGAAGCAGCTCACCAAAGGTACCAAAGAGAGAGAGCAACTGATTACTTTAATAAAAGAATAGAAAACATTAAAAAAGGAACTTTCATAGCAGCACACAATAAATTTGACAACAAAAGTTAGCTATGCAGCATGTAAGATTTTTCCCTTTTTGGTGACCCTCAAACTTTCAAATCACTCAGTGTCACCCTCAAGCTTTTTGTGTATCTGTTGTTGGAAAATTGAGTGGGTGTCCGCCCAAGCTTTTTGTGTACCTGCCGTTGGAAAAATTTAGCGAATTGTGGTTTTCTAAAGTTTTCTAAAAGAGTCTACGGGTGTATCCCATCTATATGTATGGACTTTTATTTTAGGTGAGTGACGTTCATAGAGTTGACAAATTCTTAAATACTTTCATAGAGTTGATAAAAGTCACTAGTAAATTGACAAGACTTTTGCTATTAACAATTAGGGGTTAAATGCGTTTTTGCCTCCTCAGTTAAACTATAGTTGTCAATTGCATCCTCAATTATTTTTTCGGTAAATTAAGGATACAAATTTGTTAAAAATAGCGAATTAGGTGCCTATCGTCAGATTTCATTCATTTCTCCATTACTTTTCGCACGCTACCCATTTAAGCAGGGCAAAAGCGCCATTGCACCCTTCCCTCCCTATACTCCCCACAATTAGACCTAAAGCCCCAATTTTGTAAGCTAGACTAGCGGTGGTGCTGAGATGAGGCTCGAGTAATCGACCTCAAGTGAACATGGAGGAGTTGTGTTGGGCAGATGCTGTAAATGTCGAAAAAATGCTTTAATAAGGACGTCTTGGACATATTTAAACCCTGGAAGAAGGTTATATGCTTGTGGCACACAAACGGTGAGTTTTATGATGCTTTTGGTTATTTTGAATTTTTTAAATCCGATTCCATGAATGATATAGAGAGGTTGACCCAAGCAGATCATTCCTGTGTTGTTAAGGTGTATTAGAATTATGGAGGAGGAACTTTAGTTGCAGAGAGCTAAAGTAAAGAAGATTATGTTTTGGTTTGGCAGCTGCTTGATTGTGAATATAATTTTAGGGCTTTCTGTGTTATTGAAACCAAATTATAGGGATAAGAAACAGTTGAAATTGGAATTAATGCGATGAAAGAGTTTGAGGGCATGTATTCTGTGCTTTTGGGTAATATGTGTTAGTGATGCTTTTGGGTTTTTGTATATGTTTTTTGATGCGATTTCCTATATATATATATATATAAAATTTGGCTTGCTCTGAATAAAGTGGTGCAATTTGAAACAATTGATGTACTCATAGCAGTTGGGACTAAATATATCTGACCATATTGGTGCAATTGGAAAGACAAAGTATAAACAGGTCTTAAAGAAACCAAACCTCCTGAGTGTGCATTTAACACTTTGAAGTATAAAAGTGCATACTAAATACCATTGGTGCTTAGCCATAGCATTACAAAAGATATGCTAAATACCACAAGTGCAGAGCATTACAAAAGACTGGTTAAAAACCACAAGTGTAGAGCATTATAAAAGACTTGCCAAGACAAGCAAGTTTACAATTATAAAACACTTGCCAAACAAACAAATTCACAATTACAAAGCAGTTGGATTATCAAACAGTTTCACCATTACAAGGTCACTATCACTTCCTCCAAGGCATTGCCTTTTTTGCAGGTGGTTTGAACTTTGGGGATTGAGAGATAACCACTGATTGAGCAGGAGTTCCACTTGCAAACATAAAAACTGTAGGTTGGGTTGCACTTGGTTGGCGGTTTGTCCCTCCCACTTGTACACTTGGAATTGAGCCTCTCCCATCAATTCATACATTTGGAGCAGTGCCTCTCCCTCTCATTCCTGCATTTGGAGTAGTGCCTCTCCTTCCCATTCTAGCAGTTGAATTGCCTCAGCCTCTACATGCCTTATACCCATCAATAACATCAAATAATACCAAGCATAAAACCATAAAGTAAAGCCAAAATCAATACCAAGCATAAAATCAAATAATACCAAGTAGCATCATATCGTTAGTTTTGCCGTTCTCATTGGCATGGAGTGGGGAGTTTGGCTAGTAGCATTTTGGGTACTTACAGGTTCGGTAGGTACATCTTGCCTATTTACAACTTGCCTTGGCCTTCTACCTCGCCTGCCTTTCTCCATCATTCCGATCACAATTAGTTGCATTATGCCATTCTTAGCCACATCTTCTGAAGTGTATTACGATATCATACCTCTTCAATTTTGGGGCACCTTTTGGAATCTCATATACCCCTATTACCTTAGATTTCTTTGGCCTTCTAGCTTGCTTGTGATACACATGAGGTTTGATGGGTGGATTGCTTGTTTTCACCATAAGTCTTGACTAGGCATTGGGGATATGAAATTCCCATATGCTCTATCATATGCATCTATAAAATAAGCAGGATTCACATATTGCATGGTATTCTGTTACCTTGATATTACAGCCAGTGGATGGTAACAAGGAAGACCAAAGAAATCTCATTTCTTGCATGAGCAAGTATGCCTATTCAAATCCATAACATATTGGCCCCCCAACTTATGCATAACTTGATACTTTCGTCTTCCAACATGTTGAGCGATGCATGACCCACTCTCATTCAAGCATTTTTCTATATCATTACAATCCCTGGTCTAACCTTCTGAGTCCATTGCATTTCTCTTTGCCTTGCCATTCTCAACACTAAATAACTTCTTAATCCCTCTAGCATTGTCAATATTGGTTTGTCTCTAGCTTCTGAAATAGCATAATTGAAACACTAACATAAATTATTGAGCAACATATCACATTTTGGACTAGTTTTGAAATGTGATATGCTCTAATAGCTTGCAGGCCTATCTTCCAGCCATTTGTAAGCTTTTCCAGACAAATCTCTTATCTTTTCCATCTCTACTTCCCACCATGGAACTATAGTGGCTTTAGTTGCAGCCCACAATATTTGTTTCAAAGCCAAATTACCATGACCAGGTGTCTTGAAGTTTGCATGGAGATGCCTAACACAATGTATGTGCTCAGCAGATGACACTAAGTCCTCTGTTGCTTTTCCTATGCCTTTTTGCTTATCAATAATGATCACCCAACCATTTCCATCTGTGATACCTACATCTTTGAAGATAATGTTTAATAATCAAGTCCAACACTCTTTGTTCCCAATCTCTACCACACCAATTGCTATTGGGAACATGCTAGTGTTGGCATTGATCCCAACAACAGTAAGTAGTTGACCTGGATGAGCTCCCTTGATGAAGCAACCATCAAACCTCACAATTGTCCTTCAGCCTTGTAAGAATCCCCTCATACAAGCATCAAAGCATACATACATCCTCTAAAAAATTGGATCTTTACCTCTTAAAATTGTCTTCACAAGGACTGTGCTACTTGGATTTTGTCTCTTAATCTTCTTACAATAGTCCTATATCTTTGCATACTGTTCTTCAATTAATTCTTGAATCTTCTATTGAGTCATTTGCTTTGCTTTATAGATCCGATCCTTAATAACATCAATGAAATAATGCTTTTTTACCAATACCATGAAATCTCCCACTGAAATATTAGGATTTGTCCTAGGCTCCTCATCAAATATTGCAGCTAACCAACTAGAAGTGACAAATCTACTTGTTTCCTCTCTCCCACATGTCTACTCTCCTAAAATAGTCCTCACCCTAACAATTTGACTATTCACAACATGAGATGCATCTAGTACCCAAGGATAATGACCATTCTCTGCCTTTTCATTGCATTTAACTCTGAGCCTACCAGGCTCATTTTTTACAAACTTCAGTAACCTGACACAACTATTAGCATAGTATTGAATAACTTCTATGCACTCTATCATGGTTATGAATTCAAGCCCCAAACTAAATTTGGGAAACCTCAAGTCATGATCTCTGTAATACTGCTTAAATCTAGGGGTTCATCTTTTGGTCTTCCCTCTCACTGTAGTATTTTCCTCATCCTCAGATTCATGAACACTGCTAAAATCATCAGTGTGATACTCATCAATATCTGCCTGACATGGTTCTTTCTCATGGTATTCTTCATCTTCATTTACAATAAATCCACCATAAACCCTCTCATTTTCTTCATCATTTTGCTCAAATTCAGTTTCTCTATACACATAATCTTTTACACTAGGTTCTTACTCATCATCATCTTCATCTTCATTTTCTACTTGCACATCAACACCTACAAACTCATCTGCATCTTCATCTTCTAGTTGCACATAATCTGCAAAACCTTCACCAAATTGATCATCTACAAAACTTTCGTCAAACTGATCATCTACAAAACTTTCACCAAACTAGTCATCATTGACAAACTCATAATCACCCCATAGCCATTTGTCTCCAAATCCACATCCACATCTACAAAACCTTCACCACCAACATCAACATGTTCAAAGTTAGGTTGTTTACCTTTGTTGACTTGTGCTGCATCACTTGAAACAGAAGCTTGGCTCTCTAATATCTGCCCTTGTTGTGAGATGTTAGTAATGTATATCACATCTAGTTGTTTTGAGGACTGGTGCTTCACAAACTCAAGTACAAACTCAAGATAATCTTTGTAAGTGATAATTGGAACTGAACCCACTTTTTTTTTCTTATGGAAAAACCTACTTGTCTGTTCTATGTACCCTACCTTTACTGCCAACTCATACAAATCCAACATGGACACATAATCTTTGCAATGGTTGTCACTCCAGTGCACAATGCCACCCAAATAGAACCCATCCACAACATTCCCTCCATGATGAATTTCCAAGGTAAAATTGTCAGGATCAGTTGCATAGTTAAAAATGCAGAACAATTAATGTCCATCTACCACATTTATCTACTATTAAACACCTATACCAACTCACTAAAATACAAAAATAGCTGCAAAAATAAAACTCATATGCAAAAAGGAGAGACCACACATGACTAAAATGTATTATACAAGTCCCATTAAAGGAGTCTTAGAACAAGACATAAAAGGAACAACTCACATAGAACGAATCTCAGTCCAAACCAAAATAGACATAAAAGGGGCCACTAACACAAAAAACTCTCTTTTACATCGATTCGATCCCTTAATAATGTATAATATTTGTCAAAACTCATGAGGTGAGGAAAAGTTAGGAAAAGTTGACATTTACAGTACTTCAGACGCTCTCCACCATCTCTTAGGACAACATACATCTCCTTAAACAATCGCTCTCAAAGTATATTACAATCTCTCTATATTACCCCCCAAATTTCGATTGAATCTTTACTCTGCCCAATTAGATTTAGAAATCGCATATGAAGTTCTCAAACCTAAAGTCCCAATTACCCACTCTTCAAACCCTAAAACATGATTTTGCCTAAATGACGTGTTTTTAAAAAATCTCAATGGTTTCGTGTAATTTAGTCGAAGGGGAGGGCAAACTGATGATTTTGCCCTTCAATAATGGAAAAGTAACGGAGAAATGGATGAAATCATTCAAAATCTAATAGTAGGCACCTAATTGGCCACTTGTAACAAATTCGTATCCTTAATTTACCCAAAAAATAATTGAGGGTGCAAATTGACAATTATGGTTTAGTTCATGGGGCAAAACCACTATTTTCCCTAACAATTAGCCTTAGAAGTATGGAAACCTTAAAAGTATGGAAACATCATTCATTTAATAAGCATTTTAAAAGTCATTAACTTTTTGGATAACACCAAACTTTTAAGGACTTTTTAAAAGTCACAATTAAATACCACTACACTTTTATAAACTCCTTAAAAATCTAGATTGAATACCTCCAAACTTTTAAACTCTACAAAAAGTCATTAAAAGTTTGAATTGGATACATAATGTTTCAAGGAACACTAACGATGCTACATTTCATACTTTACTTGCTCCTTAAACTAGTGTGTGGATGGAAATGCAAACAAACCTTATGGATCGATGAAGCCCAATCTATAGACTATAGCCGCTATGTTAGATTGCGTCTTGCACAACATAATACTAATCCTAATACTCCTAGAAACTAAGGGTTCGTTTGGGAGTGATTCTAGGGAGAAGCACCATCCATGTGCTTCTCCATAAAAGTGATTATTGGCCTCTGAAGAATCACTCCCAAACAAGCCCTAATCTATTTGGGAGTGTTTTTGGGAGGGCTAAAAACACTTTATGACAACAACAAAACGCTTCTCATATCGTTTGGCAGAAAATTATAGAGGTGTTTTTGGGTCATAGAATCATTTTCCAGAGAAGCAATTGCTATGTGCTTCTTTAGGAATCACTCCAAGTGTTTTTTCAAGAAGCACCTGGATTTCTTTTAAAAATTCCAATGTCTTTATAAAAAAACGGTTTTGCTAGAAGCATTTATGTGTAGAAGTGCTTCCTAGAGAAGCAATTTTAAAGCAGCCCTACTTTGCAATGAATGATGACAATCCAGAGGGTAAAATAGTAATTGCCTATAAGATTAACCTAGTTCATATATACAATACAAAGCGTGTCACGTTTTGAGTGAAGCTGCAATGCCAAAGCCTATTCACTTCTTTACCCTTCCTTTTCCACCATGTTGTTGTCCTTTTTGGGCATTGGCAGACCTATTAAGGCGAAAGGAGGTGCGAATGCACCTTCGCTCGTCGGAAAATCTCTTGCAGCTGCAACTGAGGCTGCCTGAAGCGTAGTTCTTGTGAAGAAGATGACCACTGTGCCCTAGTTTTCTTTCTGATAATTCCAAAATGAAACGACGCCATTTGAATTTGGGGAATGAAATCCCTTTAATGAAATGGTGTGTTTTGTGACTTGAAAACAAACGATGCCGTTTCATTTTAAACTCTTTAATCCCCATGAATTCAGGCCCAAATTGGACTTGTTGAGCTTAATTATCTTCCCCAAAGAACTGAGAACAACCTATCAAATTCCTACCTTTATTTTAAGCCATGTGCATCCTTATCTCTTTAGACTATTTCTCTAGTTTTCTCTGGCATTCTGAATATGGCTAGATTAGCTTGAATACTGTATGTCTAGTATAATACATATGTGGGGATGCTTGATAGAGCTAATACTTCTAATTAATTATTAATAATTTTCTTTAATTAAATTAATTTATTATCGAAAGGCTTACGCCACACATTACAAGACCAAAAATGCCTCTCTACCACACTTTGCTTTTTAAAACCTTGATTGATGGCTATTAGGTGCTCGACTAAATGCCTTAAAAAGGCTTTTCTATTTTGTTTGTTGCGCTCGCTTATTATTATTTTATTTTTCAAAATATCTTGTTCAAAAAGTCGTTATTTTTTTTTCATGGGTTAATCTTTTTATTAGTATCTGAATTTTGACTTGATTTGTATTTGAGTACCTCAATTTCCAAAATGGTTCCCGTGGTCCTTTAACTTTAGTTTCGTTTGAACAAATGATCATGCCGTCAATTTTGTTAACTTTTTCTATTAAATGCAAGGGCAAAATGGTTTTTATATTAAAACAAAAAAAATGAATAAAAATAATATCTGTAAAATAACAATAAAAGAAAATCAAATAAAAAAACCAACAAAAAAAAGAAAGAGTAATGCTACACTTACCACATTATTATCCCACATTTCTATACCACATGATGTGGCATGTCCATATTATATGCCATATCAATTAAATTAATGAAGTGTATTTTAATAAAGAAAATTAGAAAAATAGAAACTAGTATTTTACATGGTGTGGTATGTACACATCAGCCGCCACATCATGTGGTATAAAATTATGGTATAAAAAATGTGGTAAGACTAGTATTATTAAAAAAGAAAAGGTTTGGGAGGAGTAGAAATTGAGAGAGAGAGAGAGATTAATTTTAATTTTTTAGTTTTTAAAATTTTTTATTCATATTTTAATCAATTTTGATACAAAATATCATTTTGCCCCTACATTTAAAAGAAAAGTTAACAAAATTGACGGTATGACCATTTGTTGTAATGAAACTAAAGTTAAAGGACCACGGGAACCATTTTAGAAATTGAGGTACTCAAATGCAAATCGGGTCTAAATTCAGGGACTAATAAAACAATTAATCTTTTTTTTCATTAATTATGAATGACATTATTATTGTTTAAATTTAAGGGTATCTGGTCATGATTTTTTTTTATTTGTGCTTTGTAGCCTTTTAAATATTGCCTTGTTTTGGGGAGTAGGTGAGTCACAATTCACAAGTGTCAACCCAACAAAAGGGGCTGGACGAAGCTTGAACTTGTCTGCAGACGCGAAAAATGGGATCGGAGACGAGAACCAGAGCAAGAAGAAGAAGCTGCCAAGCCACAGATTTCGGTGCAACTGCAGTGGCCAGCTCAGTGGACCTCTTGGTAGAGATCCTGATGCGCCTTCCAGCAAAACCCCTCCTCAGATTCAAATGCGTATCCAAACAATGGTACTCTGTCATCTCTGATCCTCAGTTTATTATCAATTATGCCCAGAGAAGCTTAAAACCTCTTTTGGGTTTGTTGTTGAGTGGTCGTAAAGAACAATTAGGTCCATACCCAGAATTTTCTTTCATTTCCATTGGAGGCTATGGCAAAACTGGGAGAGTCCCAAAATTTCTTAACATCCCCAAATTGGAAATTCAAGATTTCTGTAATGGGTTGATGTGCTATTCTAAGCCTCACATGGATGCCCCTCAGTTCACTTCTTATTATGTTTGTAATTCTGCATCTGGGCAATCCAAAAGAATCAGAGTTCTTGAAAGTCCATCCAGCAAGAGATTGATGGCTGTGAATTTGGCTTTTGATCCTTCAAAGTCACCTTTTTACAATGTGATTTTTGTCAGTGAAACATCTGGGTCAGAATTGAACCATCTGATCAAAATTGATATTTACTCCTCTAAGACTCAGACTTGGAGACCCAGCACAAAGGGGCTGTTCATTGTGCCTCATGATGTGGACTTTGGCAATGGGGTTTACTGGAATGGCGCAATTTATTGGTACCATCGAGAGAAGAACTCTTTAGCATATTTTGATTTTGAGGCTGACTGCCTGGATAGGTTGCAAATGCCATTAATTTCTCAGGGATCGTACCCCATGAATTTCGACTATTTTGGAGAGTCGGGCGGGCATTTGCATCTTGTTGGGACCTGCAGACCAGGCACTACTCTTTTCACTGTGTTTGAGATGGAGAAAGATAGGTCTGGCTGGTTTGTGAAGTGTAATGGTGATTTGGGTGCTTTAGCAACTACTTTCCCGAAGATGGTTACCCCTAGACTCTCTAGGCGTTATTTGTTTTCTCCAGTGAGCCTGTTTAGAGGAGGAAAAGAAGAAGAGCTGAGTATTGTGCTAACAATACCTGGGAGTGTGGTCCAATATAACGCCAAGGATAAGACATCAAAGAAGCTCTGTGATCTGCCAAAAGGTTTCATTTTCAATGACTTCATGGGGCAAGGCTTTAGGTTTAAATCGCATCAGTACATGGAGACCCTTGCCTCCATATGAAAAGTAGTGTTTTTCTGGTATCTCCTCCCTTCTTCTACCTTACCTTTGCAAGGATGATTTTGCTAGCGTTTCTATTCTATACATACGACTGTGTTGTAAGTTGTACAATCAAAACTTTGGTAATGAACTTTAAAAGGAGTACCTTGCTTTCTAAATTGAGGTTGACTAGGCTTGTTGCTTCTAATTTAGACCCTTCTATGATTGAGGAAATTCAAAATTACAGTTGTTTTATGTGTTGCTACAGATATAAAACAGAGCTCTAATTTTACGCATGTGACCATGTTGAAAGTTGTATTATAAAACGTTTGGCAAAGAACATTTGATGGAGGAGTATAACTTAATTGCTTTCTAAGAAAGATGACTAGGTTTGTTGTATCTAAGTTGGAGGCTTAGTGCCTTCTCTGTTGGAGAAATTCACAAATTTAGTTCTTTCATGTCCTGCTTCTGCTATAAATTCTTTCTATAGCAGAAATACAGGAAGGAATTGGGTTAACAATAAGTTCTTTCAATTCTGGCGATTTGATCCATGCACTTGATACTCATCGCAATTCAAGTACACGTCCAAATTTCCTTCCAATTCTGTGACAGTGTAAGCACATTTCTCCCATGTGGAGGGGTATTTCTGTCTACTCGTGCCGTCTACCTTAGTGCTTAGCTGGATGTCTTCCTATTTCATGAGGGCTCCGCAAAATTTTGATTCTTGGGTTTCACTCAATTTCTAGAGGGTGCAGATTGAGGGAAGTAAAGATTGAGACAATTTTGATTCAGAGGTTGAAGAAGTGGCTCATCTTGTCATGTCAGACATATATACCCCTCGTCAGGAAACATTCCATCATGAAATTTGATGTGTCTTTGAATTGCGATAGGTATCAAACTACATGGATCAAATCACCAGAACTGAAACCATAGGGATCAAAGTGGAAATCCATCAATTTACAAAGGATCAAAAGTGACTTTTAGCCTTTTTCAGATGTTATTAGCAACAATTATATAATGACACTGATCGACACATTTGGTGAATAAGTTGAATTCTCGCCAAAAATAGTTGTCAGTTGGCCGAGAACTTAAAACCGAACCATTTTTTTAGTCTTTAAGGTCTCCAGTTTATTCTTATCTATAACATGCGTCACGCCTTATGCTAATCATGATTAATATTTATATTCCGCTTTTACCATAAACGATTAAATGCGTATATGTGTTTAATATATGATTAACTGTAATTCATAATTGTCATAAAGGATTAACCATGGTTAACATGAGAAGAAATGCTATAAGTAGTGGGAATAAATCACTAGTACTCCTCAACAATATTGACTGTGTTGAGTTGGTGATTTTTTTCATGTAAATGGTGTGATTTGGAGTGTTGGTGAGTCTCAATAGTGTCAAGACAATTAGAGGACTGACAGATCGGAACTTGGGCTTGTACGCAAAAATGGCACAGGATAGGAGAAGTTAGAAAAGAGAAGAAGATGCGAAGCCAGTGCAGCTGCGTTGGTCGACTGTTTGGACATGCTGATAGAGATTCTAATGCGGCTTCCGGCAAAGCAGATTTTCAGAACAAAGGCAGTGTCAAAAGAATGGTACTCCATAATCTGAGTCTATTTTTGTTGTAAATTATGCCAAAAGAAACTCAAAATCTCTATCAGGGTTCGTCTTGAATGGTTGTAGAGCCCCATCCCCAGAATTTTTCTTCGTTTCTCTAAGAGGCAATACTGGCAGACCAGCTAGAGACCCACAATTCATTAACATCCCCCAGATCAAAATTCAAAATATATGCAAGGGGTGGTTGTGTTATTCTCAGCCTCACATGGATGACTCTGGGTTTACTTCTTATTATGTTTGTAATCCTACTTCTGGGCAAACCAAAAGAATTAGTGTTCTTGACCATTCTGACAACAGGAGAGTAATGTCCGTTGATGTGGCTTTTGATCCTTTGAAATCAGTTTTCTACAATCTGATTCTTGTTACTGAATTATCTCGGTCAGAATCCCAGCAACTGATCAAGATTGGGACCTACTCCTCCAAGACTCAGTCTTGGAGCTATGGGCTACATAATTTGGCTTATGAGGTAGGCTTTGGACATGGGGTTCATTGCAATGGTGCTATTTATTGGCGCCATGTAAGAAACAACTCTCTGTCCTACTTTGATTTAGAGGCAAATTGCATTCAAAACTTGAGAATTCCCCAAATGACATCAGAACCCTTCCGGACGAACATTGGTTACCTTGGGGAGTCGGGCGGGCGCTTGCATCTTGTCAGGACCTGCAGACCGAGCAGCATCCGCTTCACCGTCTTTGAAATGAAGGACGATAGGTCGGGGTGGTTGGTGAAGTGTCAAAGCGATTTCGGGGATTTGGTGGCTTGTTTTCCGAGGATGGGAAGGGTTGCCCATGGGCCTTATCAGTTTAATTTGATGAACCTGTTTGAAGGTGAACGAGAAGAGGACTTGAACATTGTGCTCAAAATACCAGGTGCTGTGGTCCAGTATAATGCCAAGGACAAGACCTCAAGGAAGCTCCGGCGTCTGCCGAGAGGTTGCGTTTACAGTGAGTTTTCATTTTTCACTCACTCGTCTAAATGCATTTACCAATCTTGCTTGCTTGCAGCAATCTGTTGGGGCGTTGCACCCTATGAGTTTTTGTTTTTTTTTTTTTTTTTTTTTGTTTGGTTTTTTTTTATTTTTTTTTTTACGTTGTGACCAGTGCTTGGGTTCAATCGAATAATTTTGCAGAGAAATTTAGATTTGGAGGTGTAGAACTTAGCTTTGTGACTGAGATTTGACTAGGTTGCAATTGCTTCTGATTTAGAGCCTTCTCTTGTATGATTGGCAAAATTTACAAATTACAGTTGTTTATTTCTTTCTTGCTTTTATCTCTTGGTCTGAGAGTGATAAAAAATAACTTCTTTCATGTGTTGCTACTGATACAAATTGTTTCTAAAGCGCAAGTTGAGGAGAGAGAAACGACTCATAGTGGCTTCATATGATTTAATGTTGCTTATGCATATTTTAAACTTTTAATTAATGATAACTATTTTTTTATATATATTTTTTTTCTAAGAGATGGACCAATTATATTAAATTAAAAAATAATTATAGTATTTACGACTCCCTAAACTAGAGAGTATGATTAGGGTTCAAATTTTATAGAGAGCTCCTAAAATAACATTTGTGTATTTTTAACTAAATTTTAACTAAAAAATAGAGAGCATAATTGTAGATGTTAGTTAACATAGTGGAACGGTAACATCAAAAACATCAAAAACATCAAAAAGTTGGACTCGACGCGATTCTTTTTTCATGAATTTTGCGTCACCCTGAATGTATTTTTTTTCTTCATGTACATGTACGAACAAGAGAAAAGATAGTTGCATAAGTATCAAGTTTAGGAGTAAAAATAAAGAGAAATGCTAACAACCTTCTCTCTAACCTTCTCCTTTGGACATTCTCCATTTTTTGTTTGACATGTGTCATTCTCCTTACACTTAAAACAATGTCATTAATATATTGTACAAACTAACTTTTGCTTTCCATGTTTATCCTTATTAAATGTATTCAATTTATCCAAAAAAAATTCACAACTTTCTTACCATCTTATTATTATTTTTTTAACGTCAATTTTTATTTATTTAAGAAAATGTCTGCTTTTAAAAAAAAAGGGAAATGTCCCCTTTTTTTAACGTCAAGTTTAGACTTTTTTTTTTACTATAAAAAAAGGGACATTTCCTCTTTTTTTTAAAAGCAAATATTTTCTTTAAAAAAAAGTAATTGACGTTAAATTTTTTTTAATAAGATGGTAAGAACGTCAAATTTTTTTGGATAAATTGAATACATTTAAATTTTAATAAGGGTAAACTTGGAAAGTAAAAGTTAGCTTGAATAATATATTAATGACATTGTTTTAAGTGTAAGGAGAATGACACATGTCAAGTAAAAAATGGAGAATGTCCAAAAGAGAAAGTTAGAGAGAAGGTTGCTAGCAGTCCCCAAAAATAAAATGATGACGATAACAGTTGGTGAATTAGTAGCTGCCGGTAGTAGTTGCCGATTGGTTGGAAACTTAAATCCGGACTTAATTTTTTTTGTTTATTTTTCTCAATGATTTTCTTTTTCATATATGAAGGATAAAAATAGTATGTGGACTGATTTGAGGAAATTTCAGGGTATGGTTCGAAATGAGGTGGAGATGGTATTAATCCCAAATTCGAACCCACCTCGTTATAGTTATATATATATATATATATATGTATGTATTATTTTTTTCATATGAATATATTGTTAGAGTGGCTTCCAATTGTGTCCCACGAATTCCACCAAATTTTATATTCTACACTTATATTATATATTAAATTAAACAATACATAAAAATGTAAGTACAAACAAAGATTTTGTTTTGTTTGTTACCTAGTACAATAGTTTATTTCCTTTGTTTTTCTTACTCGTTTAAATATTATATATATATATATTAATGGGGCGGGGTGGGCAACCATTTCCTTGTGAAGGCATAAATGGGGAATCCCTAATTTGAATATAATGGGTATAGCCTAGTTATCATTTTCCTATATAATACTCGTATTATACATATACGTACATATTTTTCAAAAATACTTTCGTTACACATCTCAAAAACTAGGTGAAATACACTTTAAAAAAAAATCAAACGCACAATATACGTATTATACAGGTACGCATATATATGTGAAACTCAAAGCAGATGGATCCGTTGAAAGATATAAAGCTAGATTGGTGGTGAAGGGGTACACACAAAGATATGGGATAGACTACGAGGAGACCTTTGCCCGCCAAGATTAACACTATTAGAGTCCTACTGTCTCTAGCAGCAAATCTCGATTGGCCACTACATCAGTTTGATTTCAAAATGCATTCTTACATGGAGACTTGGAAAAAGAAGTATATATGGACTTACCCCTAGGATGTAATTCAGCTCCTGACAAGAAAAATCAAGTTTGCAAACTCAGAAAGTCATTATATGGGTTAAAGCAATCTCCTAGGGCATGGTTTGGCAGATTTACTAAATCTATGAAATTTTTTGGATACACACAGAGTAATTTAGATCACACCCTGTTCTTGAAGCGTGATGAAGGAAAACTTACTGTATTGATTGTGTAGATGACATAATCGTAACTGGAAATGACGCAGAAGAGCAACTGAAGTTGCAAAATTATTTGTCTCAGGAATTTGAGATGAAGGATTTAGGTGATCTGAAGTACTTTCTCGGAATCGAAGTAGTAAGGTCAAAAACTGGTATATTTCTGTCTCAAAGGAAGTATGTAATGGATCTACTCACTGAAATAGGAATGCTTGGATGTAAGCCTGCTGACACACCCATTGAGATGAATCACAAGTTATGTGAAGACATGGACCAAGAACCAACCAATAAGGAACAGTACCAACGCCTTGTTGGAAGGTTGATATACCCGGCACACACAAGACCAGATATTGCATATGCTGTGAGTGTGGTTAGTCAGTTTATGCATTCGCCCAGTGTTTCTCATAGGAATGCAGTTGATTGGATCTTAAGATACTTAAAGTCAGCCCCTTGGAAAGGATTAATGTTCTCAAAAAATAGAGATCTTGAAGTTGTTGGATATACATATGCTGATTGGGCTGGTTCCATTACAGATAGACGCTCTACTTCTGGTTATTTTACATTCGTGGGAGGTAACCTAGTCACTTGGCGGAGTAAAAAACAAAATGTGGTTTTTTGGTCCAGTGCAGAAGCAGAGTATCGAGGAATGGCTACAGAGTTTGTGAATTATTGTGGATCAAAAGCCTCTTGACAGAATTAGGCTTCAAGCCAGAAAAGCCAATGGAGTTGCATTATGACAACAAGTCAGCTATCAATATTGCCCATAATCTAGTTCAACATGATCGAACCAAACATGTTGAGGTGGATAGACATTTTATCAAAGAAAAAATTGAGAAATCAGAAGATCAACTGGTAGATATCTTAACCAAAGCTATTTGTGGAAGAGTATTTCATGACTCACTTACCAAGTTGGGCATTGGTGACATATATGCACCAACTTGAAGAGGAGTGTTGACGTGAGTCTCCTAATTAATCAATGAGATTTACTTCCTTGATTAATTAAGGGATTTACTTTCCTATTTTTATATAAGTGATAAATCATTGTATAATTAGGAGATACTTTACTAATTATTTACTGTATCTAATTCATTGTAAAACCCTATTGTAAACTCCTATATATACCTCCTTATGGAGAAGAATAAAACTTAACTCAAAGTATTCAAACCATATTCATATTTTAGCAATCCTACTTCTGGCCAATCCGAAAGAATTTGAGTTCTTCACAGTTCAGAAATCCAGAAACTACTGGGCGTGAATTTGGCTTTTGATCCATTAAAATCAGCCTTTTACAATCTCATTTTTGTATCTAAGTCAGAAACACAAAAACTGATCAAGTTTGTTATTTACTCTTCAAAGACTCAACTTTGGAGATGCAGCCTTTTCTTTATGCCATTTGATGTGGCCTTTGGCAACGGGCATACTTCGAGCTCAACACAGGCCGCTTCCAAAGTTCAGAAATGCCCCAACTGGCATTGCCCTACCCTATATACATCGATTATTTCGGAGAGTCAGGTGGGCGCTTGCATATTGTTGGGACCTGGAGACTGAGGAGGACTCAGTTCACTATCTTTGAAAATGAAGGAAGACAGGTCCGGGTGGTTTGTGAGGTGTCAAAGTGATTTCAATACTTTGGCAAAAGATTTGCCGCCGATGATGATGACTGTCCCGTATAGGCATTTTCTGATTTCTGTGGCGACTGTGCTTCAAGGAGAAGAAGAAGATGATTTGAGTATTGTCCTGAGTGTACCGGGGAGTGTTGTCCAGTACAATGTCAAGGACAAGACCTCAAAGAAGCTCCGGGGCCTCCCAAGAGGATTAATTTTCAGTGAATTTTCATCACAATACTTGAGTTTCAAAGCATACAAGTGCATTGAGACTGTTGCTAGCATATGAAAGCAATGCTTCTTTGGCATCTCCTCCCCTGTATGCTTCCCTAATTGCCTTCAGATCTTACAATGAGAGAGGGTTTTGTATTGCTATTTCTAAAGAAGATAGGAGCTGTTATTTTTAAAGCATAGCCTCTTACAATTTGTATTTCGGACTTTTTGAGCTGATACATTTGGTTTAATGTGATATTTGTATGCATTTACTGTCTCCAACATGGAAGATCCATTTATGCTGAATGATATTCACATATTCACTACCCTCTGAAATTTGCTTGTTCTTCTCTTCCATCCCATAAGTTAAATATTTGACCTCAATTGTAAAAAGAGATATTTAGTGATATACCCATTCTTAGCACTAATATTATAGATAAACCCTCCATCATTGAATTTCTATAAACAAACCCAAAAAAAACCCCAAAAATGACAGCTGGCCTTATTGAATTTAATATTTATTATTAAATTACTTTAATGCCCTATTGAGTGTTTTGGGTATTTTTATGAGATTTTGAGGTTGGGCTTGTTTTAAGAAATTTATGGTAGTTTTGTAATTTATAAGAAGTTAAGGCCTCTTTGTTATGTTGTAAATGGGTTTTGGGTGTGTTTATAAAGTTCATTTCATATGGGGTATTTTTATAATTTGGGCCCCCATATTGGGTATATTAGTGAATCTCCCTTGTAAAAAGTGATGGCTGCTCCAATACCCTAATTCTATCTCCTCCCTGCCAAACCATACCTCTCTCTTTCTCTCTCTTCCCTGTGAACTTCTTGTGCTCAGGAAATCCGTGTACAGCGCAAGATCCTGAATTTGAGACTCTCTACACCAAAAATATTCTCTTAAGCGAAGGTATTGGCATGCAACCAGCTACTTTTTTTTTCTTCAATCATATTCTCTCTCCTCATTTGATAGCCAATGTTCCTACCCGTGCCTTATCGAAGTCATGAACAACCTCCCAAGGTGCCTTATCTCTGTTTCCTCATCCTCCTCCATTGCCAGGCATGGTATAGTTACAGTTGGGAGTTTTTCTTTAGAGTTTTTCTATTTAAACCTCACACTTCTCTTTGTTCACCACATGCTATAAATTCAAATTTTCACAATTTCTAAGAAAACCCCACTATCTTCCCAAACCAACCTCAAATACACACTCAGCAGAAAAAAAATAAAAAAAACTAAAACTCATCAACCTCACACCCCACGCCCCGTTGTCTTGCTCCTCATCACTCTAAGTTTAACTCAATCTCACATTATTTAAAGAGATAAAAACATTGTTGTCAAATGTGTAGCCGTATTATTTTATTATTATTTAAACAAAATTTGAGAATGAACTAGAAGGTTTTGATAGAGAAATGTTGACAGTTAAATTGATATGTAAGTTACCATCATCAAACATGAAGAGTGGTGGGGTGTGTATATAGATGTACTAGGGTTAAGTATTAAATTGGATGACCTTTTTTGTCTTTTTACGCAATAATAAAACATAAGAGCTTAATAATTTAAGTATTAGGATGAACAAAAAAAGAGTGAGGTTTAAAAATATTGCAGTCCATCATGTTGGCGAGATTGACCCCTTGATTTCCTATATTAATTTCCCATTCTATTTGGGTTTTTTATTTGTTATCTAGATCTATTGTAATTAGGAATTTCCTTTCCTTGTATTACCCTAATTAGAATTTTACTCCGTTATACTATAAATACATCTTTTTAGAGAATGAAATATATATCAGAAAATTATTCCATATACTTTGTTTGGCACATCAACAGCCTGGTCTTGTGCTAGCTTTCATACATTGGGAAAAAGTCGCGGCTATTATGTTTGTAATCCTTCAACAAGGCACAGTTCTTAATTCTTCCTCCTCCACCCAATGTTGTGTGGAATTACCTCAAGAATTTGATGTCAATGGACTTTGTGATTGGCAAGGATGAATCAAACACTCATGCACTTAGAAAATAATAAACAACAAAGAACACAAGAAATTTGTAGATGTTAGGCAATTGCCTACGTACGTCCTTTTGGTGATCACCCTGCTGAATTTTACTTTGAGAAATAAGTTATGACGTTGGTTGACAACAATCCCCTTAAGCATCTCCAAGGGAGATGACAAATACCAAACGTCAAATTTAAATTTGATGGCTGATGTGGCAATTTGACATCTTACACAGCTTTACACTCCTCCCGATATGCCAAATTAAATTATTATTTTATTACATTTTAGTGTTGATTCATTTTTAATTAAAAAGAATAGAAAAGAAAAAATAATAAAATATTCATTTGACATCTTGCTTTTGGGATGTCAAAAATAACATCTCAACCTCCAGCCTTTATTCCACATCAGCTTTGACACATCGGTTGGAGTGATGTGAGATGTTATTTATAGCTGTTAAATGTCTATGTGGCACGTTTAACACATCGGTTGGAGATGCTCTTAGAACACTATCCTCACTCTCTGTTTTTCTCTCACCCTTTGCTCAATAAAACTTGATACAACTTGTGAACTCTCCCTTAATTGATCTGCACTTCTCTTTATGAGGGCATGAGAGAAGCTACCTTCCAGCTGCTAGCTTACAACACACCAATCTCCCACCTTAACTTCTTCTCGGATGAATAGTCAACACCTAGAGCTACCCAACTACTAAAATCAAATGAGTTCCTAGTTCCCAAAATTGATTGCCAAAAGTACCAAAAATGTCAGAGAGTCTTAGGTTACAGATTCCCCTGGATTGACGGGCAAAAGCACATGAAAAGACATGACTAAACTAAAGAATAAAAAAAACCATATGGGCAAAAAACTGACCGGTTGGTTTAAGTGTTTGACCGGTCGCCTTGAGCAGACCGCAAGACTGGAGATCTCTGTGCAAACCAACCGGTCTTCGGGGAGAAAGCTTTCGATCGCTTGGAATCTGCTCCTTTTGGCATAAACCGACCGGTCGCCCACTTCACTGCATTCCATAGCCCTAATTGGTGGGCAAGTTAAATTATCAGTACCTGGTAAATTTCGGAGGAAAAAGCTTCAGGACCCTGATTTTGAAAGCTACAAGTTTGATATTACTACACTTAAAAAATATTTTCCTAATAAAAAAGTATCGCATGACCTTAAGCATATGCAAACTTCTTTGAAGCCAAATATTGGGTAGGTTGATCCTCGCATGACCTTAAGCATATGCAAACTTCTTTGAAGCCGAATATTGGGTAGGTTGATCCTGTTTTTTTTAATATTTGTATTGTATGTATGAGTTTTATAATTTATAATTATTAATATTAGGGCTATTTTGAGAGTGATTCTGAATAGGCTAGAATCATTTCTAGAGAAAATGCATCTCATGTGTTTCTCCATATAATCACTTAAAACTACTTAAAGTGATTATTTGGAGAAATGATTCTCCATAGAAGTGCTTTTGGTCTATCAAAAATCACTCTCAAACGAGCTCTTATTTGTTGTGTTGTACAGGTTGCTAAAGCAGTTGTTGTACCATCCAGGGACGGACCCATTCCCAGGCTAACCTAGGCTCTAGCCCAGGTTTCTTGATTTGTTTTAGTCTATAGTTATACTCCTAGCCCACCTAAGCAAACCCCACAAACCCTCTTGCTCAGTCCCTTAGCTAATGCACAGAGGGAAAAAAAATAAAATATGAAGAAAGGGCCAATCATCCCTGTTACACGCCAATCAATCATGACGTTCAATGCTTAATTAAAGCAAACCAAATTTATCTTCAATTATTAATCTTCTTTGATTGTCTTAATTTGTTGATGTTGAAATTTGGGGACTTTTTAGAATTTATGAAGTATCAATTAGGGATTTATAATTTTTTATTTAAAAGAATTCTATGTAATTTTTTTTTTCCTAGTTGCCCAAAACATCCGATTGTACAGGTTTTGTAATTAAAAATAAACTAATGAAAGTAGGTCAACCACCCACCACTGCTAAGTCCAAAGGAGAGAAAAGATCAAAAGTAAAGGCTACTCAAAGTTTTTCGAAACTCGTATAACTCGCTATGATCCGTTCGAAATGGTGTCTCCACGCCTTTGAACGCATGCTCTAGAGATCCGGTATTTATGTTACTTTAACATCCAAGAAAGACAAAGGTAGGTTCATATCCAACTTACAATTTATATATTAAGGTAAATTCATTTTCTGTTGTTTTCTTTAATTATTTTTATTTGTATATAGTTTATCAATTTTTATCGTTTGTTGTGTTGTACAAGTTGCTAAAATAGTTGTTTTACCATCCACCACTCTTAGGGCATGTTTACGTATCAGTAATGGGTATGGAAGGAAAGGGAATGATTTCCATTCCTGACTTCTCCTGCGTTTACTTGCAATCAGGAATGAAAAAATAAATGGGCCCCACATCAAAATCCATAATCACATTCCCTCAAAACTAGGAATTAGATCAACTAGGGGGAGTAGTCGATACGATTCCCATTCATGTTTTCTCTTAATAACTTCCAAAAATACCCTTATCACTTTACCATAATTCTAAAATTAATTTGGATTTTGATTCATGCAAATTAGTAAACAATAACAATGGGAATTAATCTCATTCCATTGCTAATTCCATATGTTTAGTAAACAGCTTAATGAGAATAATTCTTCCCATACCGATTCAGTAGTTCTCCGATTCCTAAATTCTTTGATTCCTTAGTTTCTCCATTTTTGATACATAAAGTCCAAACCTGAGAAACAATCAAAAGTTAAGGGTCTACTCAAAGTGATTCGAAACTTGTATAACTCGCTATAATCCGTTGAAAATGGTATCTTCCCATCTCTATAACGTTTTCTTTTTATATAGGTCGGGATGCTTGACTTTGTGTAGAACGCATTTTTCCGGATGATTACAAAGGTAGAACATGTTTTTTTGTATAATTTTATTTTAATATGAATGACTACAAAGATGCTCATCAATTTTCAAATCATCAAATTTCTCTTCGAATCGGAGAACAAGGAACCATTCAAACCATCTGCAAGTCAAGTACAACTTCATCTACGAAGCTATGAGGTTGAAAATGTTGTCTCCACATCTCTATCATCCTTTCTTTTTATATATGCCGGGACACCTGACCATGTGGTAGAACACATTTTTTGGAATGATTACAAAGGTAGAACACTTTTTTTTTTGTTGGTATTATTGTATTATACATTGAACGATTATAAAGGTAATCATCAACTTTTCGAGATGATTTCAACGCATACTCAAGAGATTCGGTATTTCAGCTACTTTAACATCCAAGAAAGCCAAAGTTCATAGCATATCCAACTTACAAATGTGAAGTTGATGGCAATGCTTGCATCATTATGCCTGAAATTGACTGTACATTGGAGGGATGGGGAAAAACAAACCCTCTAGCTAGTAGACGGCAATGGTGTGCTAAATCCTCAATTTATGAAAATATTAAGTTAAATTCATTTTGTGTTGCCTTGTTTAATTATTTCTATTTGTATATACTTTATCAATGTTTATCTTTTGTGATATACATGGACTTGTTGGAAGCACTCATCCATCTACGGGAAAACTGCAACTTCATCTATGAAACTAAGCCCAAATTCCATAGTCCTAACTGGTAGGCAAGTTAAATTATCAGTACCTGGTAATTAAATTTCCGAGGAAAAAGCTTCAGGACCTGATTTGGAAAGCTGTAAGTCAGATCTGTTATTACAACACTTGAAAAATATTTTCTTGATAAAAAAGTACGATATGACTTTAAGCATCTGCAAACTTCTTTAAAGGCGGATATGGGGTAGGTTGATTTGATGCCATTATTTTATTTGTAATGTAGAGATGAGTTTCACGATTTCTAATTATTAATATTATTTGTTGTTTTATATAGGTTGCTAAAAGAGTTGTTGTACCATCCACCACTGTTAAGTTCAAAACAGAGAAACAATCATAAGTTGAGGGTATACTCAAAGTGTGAAGATGATGGCAATGTTTGCATCATTATTCCTGAAATCAACTGCATGTTCATGTTGGAGGAATGGGGAAAAACAAACCCTCTCGAGATGGCAATGATGTGCTAAATCCACAATTTATCAAAATATTAAAGTAAATTCATTTTGCGTTGCTTTATTTAATTATTTCTATTTGTATGTAGATTATCAATTTCTATCATTTGTGACATATAGATATGAGTTTACACGTGGCATTGTTTGGGTCGGCAAAGACTTCGTTACCAATGGCAATGACTTCGAATTGGGTTTTGGGGTTGTAGCGGGTTGATCGATGGCTGCCGACTTCTCCAAACGCTTGTCCTCGCCCACCATCTACTGAGACTTTTGATCGAAACTTACGAGTTGAAGCTATTATTAACAAGGAGCTCAATGAATGGAATTTGGACCCGATTAGGCACGCCATTTATGCTAGTGATGCCCGTGCAATTACAAAGATCAAGTTTGGTAGTAGCAGACTGCTAGATCGATTGATTTGGGCAATGGAAAGGAATGGATCTTACTTTGTGCTCTCCGGTTACCATTGGCTTCACAATACTGAATTGAGGCGAAGAAGTCTGCGCCCTTTCTCTTCAATCAATGGCATTTGATCCAAGGCTTTGGAAGGAGGTTTGGAAAGCGGATGTCCCACCAAAAATTTGAAACTTCATGCAATCTCTCAAAAATTGCCGTGCTACATCGGCAAATTTGCACAAAAAGAAAATTGCCAGATCGCCTATGTGTCCTCTATGTAATGATCAATCGGATACGGCTGAACATATTCTTCTCCTTTACCCTTGGATGGAGCATGTCTGGTTCAGATGCTCCCTCAACATACGTATAAATCAACAGGCTGTGACATCTTTTGGCCAATGGTTAAGGAATGTTATTGAGGAAGGGAAGACCCTACAAGAGCGGTCACAATGCCTAATTGTTATTGCATACTTCTGCTGGCAGATTTGGAAAGATCGGTGCAAAGCGGTACTAGAATACATCTCCCTTTCACCAACTAGAACTATTCATGCTGCCTCTACTGCCATCAATGAATTCCTTGGCACCCTTGATCATGGTAGACATCAAACTGAGCCTCCCACCCTTTCTAATGGTAACTAGCAACTGTTTGTGCAAATAATCTCACGAGAGAATATTCGCTTCTAGATCCTTCAACCTTCGATCTTCCTTCTCTCTCTTCCTCGATTCCTGTAAAACATATTGGAGTAAATAGACCACACCCGGGGGGTGTTGGCCAAAGGCCCTCCGATGCCTAAGTTAGTTCGAGTGTTTGTAGAAAAACAATAGCTAAGCAAAGGGTACGGAGTAGTGTTTATGTAGGGTGTGAACCGGGCGGCCGGAGCCGTGTGTGGTGGCCGGAGCCGTGTGGAGAAAATATGAAGAGTAGAGAGGGAGAAAGAGCTTCGGGTATTTTTCTCGGGTATAAAGAGTAGGTTTAGATGTACCTTGAATGATGAATGAAGTCATCTATTTATAGGAGCCTCGGGGCTAGGGTTTCGTAGAGAATATGCTGAGTTTATTCTCTACCCAAATTCGTAGGGATCGAGTCGGACTGAGATAATATCTGATTTAATGATATTATCTCTTTTTATGGAGATAATATCTGAATTAAATGATATTATCTCTTTTTATGAAGATAATATATGAGATAATGACATTATCTTCTCTTTAATAGGATAATATCTTAATTAATGATATTATCTTATTAAATAAAGATAATATCATGTTAATTAAGATATTTATCCCAATTAATTAATTGGCCAGATAAACTGGTTCAATTAATTAATTAAAAGAGATAATCTTCTTTTCCACGTGGCGCGCTGTGATTGGAGACGAAAATATTTGCTCCCACAGCAACATCTTTGGAACCCCCTGCCTCCCCTTTTGTCAAGATTAATGTGGATGTATCCTGGAATCCAAACTCAAGGAGGGTTGGCATTGGAATCTTGATTAGGGACACCCATGGAGATTTTCTCAATGGTACATCCATCCCATCTGTGGCTGAGGTGCTGGCTTGTCTCGAAGGTTGTAAGCTCGCTACTGAGATGGGTTGTCATCATGTCACATTTGAATATGATTGTAAGGAAATAATCTCTTCTTTGAAGGGCTCCATTTCCAAAGGAAGTTGAGAAATCTATCCTATCCTAAGTAATGTTCGGGATGTTTTATACTACTTCTAGACTTGTGTTTGGACGTGGATTCCTAGAACCGCCAACCAAGCGGCATATCATTTGGCAATGCTTGCCAATTCGAGGATGAGCCCTGGAATATGGGTCAACCGACCCCTATCCTCTCTGATGCATATCCTAAACAAGGATGGTTTACCATGCCCCCCAAGGAATGCCTAATGGTTGCGGCTGTGTGGGCTTCTTGACGTATTTGTTTTTCTTATGACTACGTCTTCTTTAATTGTCCTCCTTCTATGTAGCTGTGTCACTGTTATGTCTTGTTGTACGTTTGTGCCTTGCTGTTTATGGATTTTGTATTTCTCTCTTGACTTTTTGCCTGCTTGTTATTAATTTCATCATCAAAACATCTTAGACAACAAACACAAAAGATGGAGAAGGTCCAAAAATCCAAACTCTGTGTAGACTTTCTACATGCTTTGCTTTCAGGATGTATTTCCACCTTGTTGAAATTTATGCTCTAAGAATACCTAATTCCAATTCATTGATATGGAAAGAGATTACTATGAGTGTGTGGGTTCCAACCTTGACCGCCAAGATGATGATTCTCGTTTCTAGCATTTATTTTAATTGCTGCACATTTGTGGTAGTGGATAACTTTATTTCTTATCGTCTTAAGGGCATTATTCTTAATTGGGGCTCTATCAATGGTGGATAGAGCCTTTTTTATAGTTTCGATTAAATATTTAGAGCTCTAAAGGTATTTTTCTAACAATTGGAGGCTCTATAGGTAATTTGGTTTACATGCATGATGGACTGCAATACTTTTAACACCTGTTGAGTCATTGATGAAGTTGAGAGACTTATTCGAAGGCCTAAATTGTTCCTTGTACTCGGTAGCTCTATAATAATATTAATATAATTTAGAGTTTTTTTTATTTAAATATCACACTTTTTTTTGTTCATAGTAATACTTAAATTATTAAGGTCTTAAGTTTTATTATTGTGTAAAAAGACAAAATAGGTCATCCAACTTAATACTTAATCCTAGTACATCTATACACACACCCCACCACTCTTCATGTTTGATGATAATAACTTACATATCAATTTAACTGTCAACATTTCTTTATCAAAACGTCCTATTTCTTTCTCAAATTTTGTTTAAATACTAATAAAATAATGCGACTACACATTTGACAACAATGTTTTTATCTCTTTAAGCAATGTGAGATTGAGGTGAACTTAGAGTGGTGAGGGGCAAGACAGCGGGGTGTGGGGTGTGAGGTTGATGAGTTTTATTTCTTTATTTTTTCTGCTAAGTGTGTATTTGATGGTGGTTTGGGAAGATAGTGGGGTTTTCTTAGAAATTGTGAAAATTTGAATTAGAAGTTGAGGTGAACTTAGAATATGAGGTGAACAAAGAAAAGTGCGGGATTTAAATAGAAAATTTTTATAATTTATAAGATAATGGTATAATTATTGTTTTAAAAAGAGGGTTACTCAGAATATCTGCAGTTACTCAGAGATAGGTGATTGATGAGACCAGGGAATCCGACACAAAATGATGGTTGCAAGCTAACTAAGGCCTCACCTGCACGCAATGGATCATCGGATGAGTTGCTAATGTCAAAGAGAGAAACCATTTTTTTGCTGCTTTTAGATCTCATAAGAAATAGTGAACAGAGCTTTAATGTGAATATGGCTAAATAAATCAACAAGTATACAATGCAGACTTATTCTCAGCAAAGTCAACGGAAAACTATTTGCATTTGGCATTGGCCACATGTGCCAGAATTGGATTGAGATTCAAGTTTCTTATTTGTGATTGTGGCATCTATCTGATCTGTATGGCCACATGTCCCTTGAAGAATTGGCTATCTTTAAATTATATAAAAATCCATTATTGAGCCAAAATTTGTCGTAGTTGTTGCAGCAACCATTTCTTTATAGTCATGGACAACTTTTTCCACATAAGAAAACGTAAAAGATAACAAAAAAAAATAAATCCACGAGAGACGGGTGAAGACTACACCCCAAAATACTAGGGAATTTATTTTGACTACAAGAACCATGTGAGAGAACGCAGAGATAGTAGACGCAGAACTTTTAGCTCTCCAAAAAAATGTGGAGAAATTATAGAACACTACGGTAGTATGCTTCGGTTGATGCTGGCTTTTGCCGTTTTATGTTGAAGTTGATTTGTTGGAGGCAGCTAAATTGGTGAATATAAAGGAAGAAATTTTTTGCAGCGGTTTGTAGAGGATATGAAGCAAAGTTCTAGTTCAAGAAAATGTCAGAACCTCGCCGCTGCAATAGGATGGCACAAGTCATCGATTGCGGAAGTGTGGTTTGTTCTATTTGTTGAAAGAAAGGCCAGATTGGTTAATTGGTTGTATTGACATTGACCTTAGAGCAACCAACACTACTTCTTAATGAAATTCGTATTTTTAGATTAAGAAAAGATTTCCAGGATTAGTACAGATTCAGAAAATAATATACAACTGATAATATGAGAAGATCAATAGAAAAATCATTACATTATGAATCCCAATCTTGAAAGGCACACAATTATTACAAAAGATGGGTTTAATCTCAACGGTACAAATAATAAGAGGACAGAAAATAATATACTGCAATGTTCAAACACAAGCCAGAGTCTCTACGAACTGATGAGCATGAAAGCATCCAATCTGCAACGCAGAAGTATTTGTTTCGGTGGATTTGGGACCAAAACCACAAATCTCCTTGAAGGTCCTATCTCTAATATTGTAAGATATAAACTTACCAGGAATGTGTAGCAACAGAAACGGGCCCCCTTCAATTTCTTGGACAAAAAGCAAAACAAATGCATAGAAACGAGAACCATATTCATGGAGCTCAAGGTATTCCATAACCATCCCCGGAAGTTCATCTACGATTGCAGCAATGTCGATATCATACTTGGGAATCCATCTTGAGTAATCCGTCTCCATCTCAAAGACTTGGAATTGAGTAGTGCTTGGACCATAAATTTCAACAAGGTGCAAATGACCACCAGACTCACCAAAATATCTGAACCTTCTTTTGTCCCATCTCTCATGTGATGGAGGACTAGGCATTGATCGGAGGCGCTCTCGATCGATATCGAAACATAACGTAGCCCCTTTTGGGCTAATCCAGTGAATTGTGCCATTCCAAAGCACCCCATTTTCAAACACCATGTCAGATGAGGCAACAAAAGGAGAGCCAGATAGCCTCCAAGTTCCAGTCTCAGATGAGTATATCTCAATCTGGTAATTACCGGATGCTGTTGATGACGAAGAACAATTTCGAACGCAGACAACTTGGTAGTGAGGTGACTTAGAGGGATTGAAAGCCAAATTAACACCGAAAATGGTTGTGCACGAATCGCAGCCATCTGCGTTAGGTGGAGGAAGCATCAAGAATTGCCTTGTTGAAGGGTTGCAGACATAAAAGCTGCGGCGTTTCCCCTGTTTGTGATAGCTACAGCACAAGACCAGGCCATTGATAGACTGCAACACTTTAACACCGGCTGAGTCACCGATGAAGTTGAGAGACTTAAAGGGTTGCTCAGAATTTCTGCAATGGTGAGACAGGTGACCAATGAGACCAGGACTTTGACACAAGATGATGCCTGCAGAGGCAACACTGCGATGGCGGGTACTGAATTGTGGATTGGAGATGAGGTAGAGCCAATTCTTGGAGACACATTTGAATCGGAGAAGAGACTTAACGGGCAGGCGGATGAGGATCAGCGTGATGAGGTCTTGGTTGCAAGCTATTTCCTCAGCGGCTGCCGGGATCAAGTTGCTGATGGGACAGAGAGACGCCATTTTGATGCTTTCAGAATGATCAGATCTCATCAAATCAATACTAGTTAACAGAGCAATAGTTTGCATTGCCCACATGTGCAAGAATTGGCTTAGGATTCAACTTTCTTATCCAAACTCACCTCTCATTGGCTGTCTCTCTTCTTCACTTTGTACATTGTGAATTTAATTTTGCACCTAAAAAAAATAATAATAAAAAAAGGGGACTGAATTTTATTCGCCAACTTGGTTCCACTAACACAAGAATCATGGGGAGAAGGAAGAGAGAATAGAATATTGAGAATGAGAAATATTTAAATAATTCTTAATCTTTTAAGAAAATTTGATTATCATTGGGAAAAAATAAATAAATATTGATTCTAGGAGGGGGTTTTCTCACACATACTTGTCAATGTGCCATGGGAGTTTGAACCTGAGACGTTTGGTACACCTCACTAGACTAGATTGGGTTAAATAACACTCGAAACCCTTGTTTGGTAAGAGACGAGACTAACTTAAATGAGACCGTATAGTCCAATAGTGAAAAAAAACGCCTCACTAGCTTTTCTAATACAGTGAGCCTGAAAAGTGGTTCTCTAAATAGCATGCTCGCTAAATAGAATACGTGAGTCCGATGCCTCTCTTTAAAAAATATCATAAATTTTATTTGTTTTCTTTTAATTATTGTTTTAGATCTTTGAATGGTTTTTTTATTTTAGATAAAAATCCTTAATTAAATTTAAATATTACAATAATTATTTTGATATTGCATTTGGAAAATCAAACTATAGTAATTTACAAACGTTTGATATTTTTTTGATATTGAAACAAGTTTAATAATTCATGATGTGATGCTTTCTTTATTGCAAGCAATTTTTACCTTGTCAAATTATATTTTCCAGTTTGAAGTCAAAAGTCAAATATATAAAAATTATATATATATACATATAAAATTTAATTATTGTTTTACTTGGTTTCTGAAAAACCTAGAATTATATAGAGTGAGCTTAGCTCCTTTAACAATGTTTCAATCAACTAAGATTAATCTTGAGAAGCCAAAAAACAAATATCATAATTTTATTCTTCATAAAAAATAAAAAATAAAAACAGAATTTTATTTGTTTTCTTTTTATTATTCTTTTAAATCTTTTTTTGTTGTTGCCAGATATTGTTATAAATCTTTGAATTGGGTTTCTTTTTAGCATTTATTTATCTTTTAGGTCAAAAACCCCAATTAAATTTAAATATTATAAGAATTATTTTTTAGTCCAACACAGCTCCAAACATAAGTCTTCACTATTTTTACAATCCAACTTCTTAGTCTGACGCAACACCAAACGTAAGTCAGTACTTAATCTAGCTTAGGCCAATCTGAGCTCATCCAAGACAGTCCCAGGATTTATTCTAGTTCATGACAATCTGCCGTGCCAAACAACCCCCTGGTGTGCAATATAAAACTAATTTTCACTTGACTAGACCCCATTAACAAACCTTAACTAGTTTCAACTCAAGGTTCTTTTTCTTTCCTTTTGATAACCTCGACTGAAGGTGTTGGGGTTCCCTCCTCAGTGGAGTCAAGATATGTGCGGCTGTTATGTTTCCTCTTTCAAAGCACATGAATGCATGTATGGGAATATGCAAGCATGGTTAAGAGTTGGTGGCTGAAAAGGAAGAGAAAAATGGTAGAGGTGTAGACCTGGCAAACGGGTTGTATTAATGGGTTTCGGGTCGTGTTCGTGTCAACCCGTTAACTTAATGGGTTAACACGACACGACCCGTTAACTTAATGGGTGACAAATACTAGACCCAAACACGACCCGTTACAATATCGCGACATATTCGTTACATGACCCCGTTATAACAAACAAAAAAAATAAAACCCAAAACACTAACACAGCTTCTCTACCCAGCCAGCCAAACACCTTCTCTGTCTTTTTTCCCCCAACCCTAAATCTTTAAGTTAAATAATGTACAGTGGAAGCAGTGTATACGGCAAATCTATCTGAAAACATGCTATTTCATTTTCTTATGTATTCCAATACACTATTTCTTGTCTTGGTTAATAAACAAAAACATATATAATAGGAAGTGAAAACGAAAGGGTTATAATAGGAACCTACCATTTCTTGTCTTTGTCTAGTCTTTACAACTGATGTTAGATGTAGTAAGGCTGATTGCGTTATGAAGAGAATAGCCCCAATAATATAAAAGCTGGAGAGAAGAAGAGCAGGAGAAGAACGAGAGGAAGAAGAAAAGGAAAAGGAGAAAGGAGAAAAAGACAAAAAGGAAAGAAGAAAAGTAAACAAGGTAAAGAAGAAAGAAAAGGGGAAGAAGAAAAGAAAAAAAAATTATCTTGTAAAATTACAAAATTAACCTCCTTAACGGGTGGCTAACGGGTTAACCCGTTTTCGACCTGACAAGATCTGTTAGCTTAACGGGTGGCTAACGGGTTCACCCATTTTCAACCCGACTCAATAAGCTCAATCCAAATATTGATAATTTCGTGCGAATTCGTGTCGTGTTAACGGATCGTGTGCAATATTGTCAGGTCTATAGAGGTGCACATTCTATCGGTGCCTTGGGTTCCCTCCTTAGTGGAGGAATTTTTTATGTCATGACTCATGATGGTACTTTTGCAATGATGCCAATATTGCAAAAATCACATCACGTAAAAGACGTCGAAATGTGAATATCATGTCGTCGTTTTAAAATTGACTACAAACAAGGTCAGTGGTTATACAAGCGACATCGTAGGATATCTAGCATGATGGTTTACAACAACACATTTCAAAAGCACGTCGGTTGTCAAGACAAAGCGACGTCTATCCAAAACACACTAAACATTGTTCACTGAAGTGACCTAGGCCCATTCGGTATCATTTTCAAGGGTCATTTTCTGTTTTTATTTTCTGGTTTCACTTGAAAACATGTTCGGTGGGTTATTTTAAGAAACAAGCTGAAATTGTTTTTTGAGAATGAATCCAAAAGTATGAACAAATGTTGAAAACACCACTAAGTCGTTTTTGTTTTCAGTCTCTTCGAATCAAAGCCAACTCTTCTCCGTGAAATGAGCAAACAATCCAATCAAATTATATAAAAAACAATCAAATCTCCTCCTTCCAACCATAATCAGCCCCAAAATTTCAAGAAAAAAAAACTCATAATCACAAAAATCTGCAACTGAGAAAAAAAAAGACAGAGAGGAAGAAGAAAAGAAAAAAAAACAGATGAGGAAAAAGAAGAAGAGAAATAATTAGAAAGAAGGAGAAGAAGAGAGAGAGAGAGTTGCAGAGGGAGAGATGAGAGAAACCAACCACCACATACCCAGTTCAACCACCATCACCACCCAATCTAATCACCACTACCATTAATTAGTGGAACCAGAGAGAGATGAGTTGATGGGATTTATACCATAGAAGGAAGGAGGAGTGAGAATTAAAAAGAGGGAAGAAAGAAGAAAAGAGAAGGGAGAGGAGGAAGAAGGAAAGAAGGTCTGGAAAGGAAAGAAGAAGAAAAGAAGAAAAATGAGATAAAAATAGTTTTAGATTTTAAAAAACAATAGAATTTTTTATTTGTTAAATTATACATTTATTAAAATATTTTTTTAAAACAGAAATGAACAAAAATACACTTGAAAGATAACTCACATAATATTATTCTCATTTGTACTATTAGACACATTTTCGTTGTCTTTATTTTCTAAGTAATTTATCAAATGCATTTTCAAATCCTAAAAATGCAAATTCATTTTCTTGTTTTCATTTTCTAAAAATATTCTGATGAAGAGGAAGATTCGTTCGGCGGCGCGCCCCAATCTATCCATTGCTGCACGCGTTCCGTTAATCGAGTGTCGTGGATGAACCGTTCTCGACGGCGCTCACTCACCTTCGTGATGGCGACTCAGTTTTGCCGGCTTTGGTGGTGGGTAGCGGTGATGATTTTTACTGGCTGCGTAATACGTCCTCTCAATCTCGTCATCCTCATGTGCAAATGTATTTTCCTCGCATTGTTGCTCCGTGGGGATGGGTTTACATAGCGGCAAATCATTTTGACTATTTTTATATTGCAGATGAGACGAAGGCTGACATTGATGGTGACAAACCACTAGAAGCGGCGGATTTCCTCAACTTGAGCTTTGGCCTAATGTCGATTCACACATTATGAAGTGCCCACATATCCTACTTTGTTCATCTTAGCTACTGTCAACTGTAGCTTTTGGGAACTCACAGTAGGTCAGTATCCTACGAACCTGATTCCAAAAAGTGGATTAACAGTCACTATTTTATTTCCCATGTCTTTGGTCCAGTGGCATTTGAGTTGGGGGTCCATCAATAACCATGCGAAAATGATTTACAAAATGGCATTAAAGGATTTTTGTTCTTGGCGGATGCATCTGGCTGTTAAATTCTTTCTTGAGCGAATAGTGGATAATTTGTGGAAGAATTTCACAGAACAGACCATTCTGATTTTTGGTTCACTAGCTCTCTTTCTTGTTATATTTTGGGGAAATATTGAGATGGTTTGTGCTAATAGGGGTTGGATCTTACAGTGGGTTAGTTTTGAGATATAAGTACGTAGTTTTAAACTATACATATCCAGGATTAAAAGCCCTCTAATAGCATGTAATTTGGCTGAAGTTTGATACCCGAGTTTGATAAGTACGACTACAAAATCTGTCAAAAACAGGGGTTGCAGTTTCAGTTTTGAAACACTTACTTTGGACTGCCTTATCTTGTAAGTTAGAGCTCCGTTTCTGTCAAATTTTATATAGTTTCAAAGTTTATTTAATCAGCTTCTGGATGCATGTAAATTGGTAAATTTTTATTGAGCTTAGGGTGTTTAATTCTGAGTTCAAAGTTTAATACACAGTAGCTGAAATTGTGTTAGTTTCTCTGATGCCTTTGCTGAATCTTTTCTAATTTATCCATGTTTGATATTTGTATTTATTATGAAAAATTTCTATATGCTTGCATGCATGTGTGTGTGTGTGTGTGTGAATTTGATTATGTGCAGTCTCATTATTTGGTTATGATCCTCCATAGGAAGTGGATGCCACATTTGAGCATGACAACATGCGAACATATGGAATGGACAATTTGTTCTCTGAGCTAGCAAATGCCATTCCAAGAATTGATGAAGCCATGAGCTTTGCAGAGATGCTAAGGTGAGATTCATATTTGTTTCTTTGCTATCTTGGTAGAGCTCCTTGCATATGCTACTTAATTTATATTAGCTTGCGTCCTTGGTTCGCAGTTGCTATTGTATTAATCATGATATGCATGTGCAGTAATCTAGAGATGCTAAGCCAGGTGCTATATGGTTTGATGGTTTTTCTTGCTGAGTCACATGAATTTCCAGCAATAAGAAACTGATGGATATTGCTTGCAAGCTTGCTGCATGGAGGTGTCTTTTCTGTTTCTTTGGCTGATTTTGTCTTGGTGACATGTGCTGGCAATTTGAGAACATAGAGAAGTGGAAATTCCTTGTTCAGTCTCAATGTTTATTTCGGAACTAGCAGCAAAGTTTCAAAGTTTTATTTTATGTTGTTTGTATAATTTCCTTTTTTTTCCCTTGATGTTACACATGAGTTTTGGGGTGTGGCAATGGTTTCCAAGGTGGAAATGATTTATTAATTTTATGATATGTGAGTACTTTTTCCTTTCAGGTTTATTTGACATTGGGGGTCTCATTCATTGGTGAAAATATATGAGGGGAGATGTGATGGTGGCCATTGTTGCTACAATTGGTAACATTCTACAAGGATATGGGATAATGCTACAATTGCTGGTACTTATCCGCTACTGAATTCTATATCAATTTATTTTAACGTTTAAAGTTAAAGATGTTTGAACTAAAATTGCAAGCCTCCTCCATTCTTCTGCAATAAGGGATGCTACTGAACTTCGTATCTACTGCACATTAATAAACCAAACCCAACACTGCATATGCTACTGATATAAAGCATTTTTTAATTTGTTTGCAGGCTAAATTCAGTAAACAAATTGAAGAAACATAGAGGATTTGGAGCTGCGGTGTCATGGGTTGATGCGCCTGGGATAATAACTTAGCAAAGAGGGAGGGAGAAGGAGATTGTGGAATTTTATCTGATGTGCTCTCCTTTAGTATTGCTGTTTTTTACTCATGAAATTTGAAGTGTTTATTTTATCGTTTTTGTATTAACTATGGGAGGTTATGGTTTGGTTTATGAGTTTGGAATGGAAAGTTGAGGACTTTAAAACTAATTGCAGGTCACTCGCCTAATGGATTTGATTACAGCCACAAGGAGGTGTTTCTTAGGGAAGCTTGTTAGGTGAGCTGCATATGCCTACACTTCAATAAAACTTGCTTCTGGACCTTTAAGCCTAATTTCTCTCTTTTTTGGTCTTGGTCTAATTTTCATTTGAGCTGGGAGTTTGGCTTTAGCCTTAATTCTTTCTGTTTTGTTGAATGTAGTCCATCCAAACTGGTTTTGTTTCCTTAGAAAGCAAGCAGAGAGGGATGCTACAAATATTTAAAAGGCTCCATGAGAAAAAGAATGGAGTTCCTCTGCAGATATGGGATGCATTTTAAGGAGGAGGTAACCCTTATCAGAAGCAATTACATTCATTTTTTTCTTTTATGTTTTCATATTCATGGACACTCATTCTATAATGGGCTCTCTTTATGTTTATTTCAGAAAGCAATTACATCCCTTTCTATGTTGTTTTTTATTTATTTCTGTTGCACCTCACTAAGAACTTGGATACATTTAAGCAGAGGTACTGTCTCCTAGACTTCATTGCAACTTTCTTTCTTTATTCTGTTTACACTTATTCTTCAATTGTGTTAAACTAAATTAAGGTCTAGATTGGTACTTTTTAAAATTGGGACCAATTTGTTATGGGTATTGTGATGCTTTTAATGAAAATATAAGTGGATACATGCCATATACAAGAAATGGCAATTGGCAATATTCGTACTGCAACTTTAAATTGGTCCTTCCTATAGGTAATTGAACTTAATCGACTTGTAGGTTAATATAACTTTTGTAAGAATTTCTTTCACCTTGTTTGTCCTAGAAATGACATTGTAAAACCCTTCAGAATTTATGTTTGATTATTGTTGAAACACGAGAAGAATCATGGGGAGAAGGAAGAGAATAGAATATTGAGAATGAGAAATATGTAACCAATTTTTCATCTTTTAAGAAAATTCGATTATCATTGGGAAAAGAAATAAATATATATTGATTCTAACTTTGTAGGAGTTGAGTTTAACCTATATCAAATTACGATTGTCAAGCTCAATCCTTTCACAATACAACACAATATCGCAAATCTCTCCATGGTTCTCCCCAACACACGTGATTACAAATTGTTGTTTTTCCAACAGCATTATTGGTTAACAATAATGTCACCTAATGCGGAAGAAAACTGTCATTTATCTGCTAGTTAAGATGGGAAACCTCAACTAGTTTTTTATTTTATTGTATTGCCAAAGTTAGGAATAGGGAGGGGGTTTTCTCATACATACTTGCAAAGGTGTCATGGGAGTTTGAACCTGGGACCACTAGTATGCAATGTAAGATCATTTTTCATTGGGCTAGACCGTTGACAAACCTTAACTAGTGTCAACTCAAGGTTCTTTTTCTTTCCCTTTGATAACCTCGACTCAAGGTGTTGGGGTTCCCTCCTTGGTGGACTCAAAAGGATTGCCTCCTTAGTGGACTCAAAGACGTGCGGCTGTTATTTTTCCTCTTTCAAAGCACATGAATGCATGTAGGGCTGGGCAATTAAACTGCCAACCCAAAAAACCGGCCGAACCAAACTGATCGGGTTGGTTTGGTTCAGTTATTTATTTATTAATTATTTAATATCGGATTTAAACTGGACCGAACCGGTCAGGTTGGTTTGATTTACGATTTGAGATTTTAAATGGATCGGTTTATCTGAACCGGATCGTTACTGTTGGCAAGCCAAATACTACAAAAACATTTTGCAACAAAGGAGTTCGAACCCCACTCCTCCATGTAAGAATCATTCTTGCTTTCCACTGGAGCAAACAACCTTGTTGTGTAATCTTTCCATAAATTTATTATATAATTAGTTATTCCGAATAATAAATATTATAAAAAAATGTGAGAGTATGCAAGTGGACTATGGACATGATACATACACTGCATCTGCGCTGAAACCAATGTTCTTTTTCTTTCTTTTGTATTTTTTTATTCTTTTTCTTCTTCCCATATCTCACCTCTTCCAAAGCCTTCATTTTTTATTTTTTATTCCCATCTTCTTCTTCATTCTGTCACTTTCCATCTCTCCCTCTCTCTTTCTTTTCTTCCTCCTCCTTTGTCTGTCAGTCTCTGCAATTTTTTCCTCCTCCCATATCTGTCTTTTTTATATATTTTTTTCCATGCTCTCTCTTCTTTCTATTATTTTCTATCGCTCTCTCTTCTCATCCTTCTTCTCCTTCTTCTCCCCGCTGTCTTTGTCTTCTTTTTCTATTTTTTTTCCCTTCTTCTTCTTCCTCTCCCCCATTTCTCAATCTCTCCCTCTATCTATTTTTTCCCAGCTTCTTCTTACTCTCTCTCTCTTTCTCTCACTTCGGCCTAAACCCGAAACTGAACCAAATCAAACCACAAACTCTGGTTAACCGAAATGATCGGTTTTATTGGTTATGGTTCGGTGTACGGTTTCCAAAATAGCTAACTCGAAGCCTTTGGTTCGGTGTCGGGTTGAGCTCAAAACCGAACCAACCCAAACCGAGCCTAACCCTAAATGTATGTATGGAATATGCATGCATGGTTAACAGTTGGTGGCTAAAAAGGAAGAAAAAAATGGGAGAGCTGCACATTCTTTCGGTGCCTTGGGTTCCCTATTTAGCGGAGGAATATTTTTTGTATTTCATGATGGTACTTTTGCAATGATGCGAATATTGCAAAATCACATGACCTAAAAGATGTCGAAACATGAATATCGTGTCATTTTAAAATTGGCCACAAGTTACGTCAGTTGTTATACAAGCGACATCATAGGATATCTAATATGGTGGTTTACGAAAACACATTTCAAAAGCATGTCAGTTGTCAAGATGAAGTGACGTCGATCCAAAACACACTAAATATTGTTCACTTAAGTGACCTAGGCCTGTTTGGTATCATTTTCAAGGGCCATTTTTTCTATTTCTGTTTTCTGTTTTCATGTGAAAACGTGTTTAGTGGGTTATTTTGAGAAGTGAGGATTTTTTTTTTTGAATCCGAAAGTATGAATGAATGTTCAAAATGTCAGAAAGTCGTTTTTGTTTTCAGTCTCTCCGAATCAAGCCAGCTCTTCTTCGTGAAATGAGAAAACACAATTATATCCAAAACAATCAAATCTCCCCTTGCCAACCATAATCAGCTCCAAAATTTCAACAACCAAAAAAAAAATTTCATAATGACACAAATTTGCAATTGGGAAAAAAAGATAGAGAGGAAGAAGAAAAATAGAGAGAGAGAGAGAGAGAGAGAGAGAGAGAGAGAGAGAGAGAGCAACCAACCACCACATGCCTAGCTCAACCAGTATCACCACCTAATCTAACCCAAGCAACCGTTAATTAGTGGAACCAGAGAGAGGTGGGTTGGAAGGAAGGAGTGAGTTAAAAAGAGGGAAGGAAGAAGAAAAGAGAAGGGAGAGAGAGAGAGAGAGAGAGAGAGAGAGAGAGAGAGAGAGAGAGAGAGAGAGAGAGAGAGAGAGAGAGAGAGAGCAACCACTACATACCTAGCTCAACCATTATCACCACCCAATCTAACCACAACCATGAATTAGTGGAACCAGAGAGAGGTGGGTTGATGGGGATTTATGCCATGGAAGGAGGAGTGAGACTGAAAAAGAGGGAAGGAAGAAGAAAAGAGAAAGGAGATAAGAGGAGGAAGGAAAGAAACAGGAACGGGTTTGGAAGAAGAAGAAAGAAGAAAGAAGAAGAAGAAGAAAGAAAGAAAGAGAAAAAGAAGAAAAAAAAAAAAAGGAGATAAAGATAGTTTTAGCTTTAAATTTTTTTTGTGGTTAAATTATACATTTTTTAAATATTTTTTTAAAACAGAAATTAGCAAAAATACACTTGAAAAATAACTCACATAATATTATTCTCAATTTGTATTACCAGACACGTTTTTATTGTTTTTATTTATGAATATGTTTTGTAATTAATCTACTAGACGCATTTTCAAACCTTGAAAATGCAAATTCGTTTGGAGTTGTTTTGTCGTGGCTTCCGTCGACATTTGCGTTCGTTGTCGTTGATTTCTCGTTCCCTCGGCTTACGCCATTGGAGGTCATTGACTTCAGGAACCACACAAGACCATGGATTTTCTACTGCAAAAGGAGTTGTTCGCACAAAGACTGCCATGACCCTCCACTCGGTTCGAACGCCGATGTAGAGGAAGATTCTATTTGGGTTCCGTTCTTAGCGGTGCACCCTAATCTATCCATTGCTGCACACGTTCGATTAATCGAGTGTCGTGGATGAACCGTTCTCAACGGCGCTCACTCACCTTCGTGATGGTGACTCAATTTTGCCTGCTTTGGTGGTGGGTATTAGTGATGCTTTTTACTGGCTGCGTAATACATCCTTTCAATCTCGTAATCCTCATGTATAAATGTATTTTCCTCGCATTGTTGGAGTGTTGCTTTGTGGGGATGGGTTTACACAGCAACAAATGTATTTGTTGATGCACGCATGTCGCATTTCTATTGGTAGGAATGTAAGAGCTCCTACTTATATGGTAAAGAGAGAAGTATTTTCCCAAAAATAATTGTATAGTGAAATGTCAATTACGCCCTTATTACAAGTAAATTGTTTTAATTACCCTGAGCTATATATATAATTCTCTAAACCCCTAAAATGCCCTTACTTGATAATATAAAATAAAACAATCTAATATCAAGGGGCCAAAACAATAAAATCATCCAGGTATTGGGTGTGCTCTCAAATGATCTTAGATTCAAGTCCTATGGTATTCGTGTGTGTGAGTTTCCTCCCTCCTCTTCCTAACTTTGACAAATAAAAAATTATTATAAGAAATAAAATTCATTTTCCAAAATTTTAATGGCCCAAGTACATGAAATTTTGAATCTATGCATCCAACATGGGCTTTATTCGGACAGGTGAAATTTATGCTAAATTTGCCACCAACTTTTGCAACGGCATTGAAGAGAGCTCACATACTTCCCTTCTAAAAAAGTGAAAAAACTAATCATAGATGAGAAAATGGATTTATTGGTAAAGGGATCCACATACTTGAGACAAATTTGTATATATATTTTTATTCATACAGAAATAGCAAATTACCATTTGAGAACGTTTAACAAACTTGAAATTTTAGCATTTCTACCATTTAGAAGTATCAAATATGACATTGATAATCCCTAAATGGCCTGAGAACGTTGGAGTTGCTCCTATATCTCTCTGTCACACATTGAAGCAAATTAAACCCTTGGAAGAAAAAAAATGCAGAGTCTCTGTCTCAAACCACCCAACATCTCCCCACCAGCAGAAACCATAGCCAGCAACCAAGATCTCCTAACACGGGTCCTTCTATGCATTCCAGCTCGTTCTCTACTTCGCTTCAAGTGCGTCTGCAAGAATTGGTTCGCTCTCATCTCCAACCCTAAATTTTGTGACACCCACACCTCCAAAAACCCGTACTCCAATGTCTCAGCCTTCTTCTTTCACACGGCAATACATGATTTCTACTTCATATCAATTCCGAACAATGAAAACCAGTCTGGATCCCTCTTGAAACCTCCCAGGATCATCAAACACCCACCGCGCATCAAGATTTTGCAATCCTGCAATGGCCTGCTCTTGTGCTGTTCCTTACAAGAAATTACAAACACAAGTAGTAACCCCAGATGTTATTTTGTTCTCAATCCCACAACCAACAAATTTTCAGCTATCACTAATTCACCATATGCTACTAAATCCACAAGCATTTTGGGGGTTGCTTTGGCTTTTGACCCTTCCAAATCGCTTCATTACAAGGTCCTCTGCATTCGGTGCATTGCTGGATCTGTTATATCTTTCCAGATAGAGATTTATTCGTCTGAGACTCAAAATTGGACACTTCGTGAGTCCACCTTTCTTAGGCCATTCCATATAGACTTTAGCCACGGGGTGTACTTCAATGGCGCAATCAATTGGATTAGCCGTACAAGTAGGGTGTTACATTATAACATAGATGAAGAAAGTCATGGAATGGTGTCTAGGCCTCCGAGTTACAATGTTTTTCGCAAGAGGGAGTATAGATATTTTGGAGAGTCTCATGGCCATTTGCACCTCATCGAAATTTATAGGCCTTGTGTTACTCAATTTGACGTGATGGAGATGGGGGGGGACTACTCTGGCTGGTTTGTCAAGTACCACGTCGATCTTGATCCAATAGCAGCCGCATTTCCTGAGATGGTCCCGGAACATAATATTGTTGACCCTAGCAAGGAGGAAACTTGGTATTATCATTATGCATTTCTTGTTCTCTTTCTTGCTCGAGAAGTAAACAAAGAGGGTTCATCTCTGCTGTTGCACATTCCTTGTAAGGTCATCTCTTATAATCTGAGGGATAAGAGCTTTGAGAAAGCTTGTGAGTTAACTTCCAAAGGCACTGAGAGTAAGAGATCATTGCAAGTTGGATGGCGAGATGCTTACCATTATATGGAGACTTTGGCTTGTGTGTGATGGCAATGGCATTTCTCTCCCATGCTGTTTCTGTCTATTTTTTTGTTTTGGTTGTAAGATGAAGAATGTTTGCGATTAGAAAAATTCTACTTACTTGTGCATTTGACATCATTCCAACGGCTTACAATTTCGTACTGCTCAATTATTATCGATACATTGAGAGATTGGCTAGTGTTTGAAGATATTTTTATTCTTATCGTTGATCTGAGTATTAATTTTGTTGTTGTTGTTGTTGTTGTTGTTTGCCAAGGCAAAGTAATTACGACACAAAATTCTTAATGGTACCAAATGCCAAATGCCAAATAAATTTTTTAAATCTACTGCCCCTTCTACAGTATATTTCTTCTGCTATTATCACCATTCTTTGCATCAATTACTCCTCTTACCTCAAGACAACCCCCAAGATCAAATATTTTCTTCCCAATGCTATTTTGGGTTGGGGACTATTTCGACAGATTGTGAAAAATTCATGGGACAAATGGGACAGCCCCAATGCTAGTTTCTCCATGAAAGCACTCTTACTTTTGGTCATCTTTATAGGGAAAGAACAAATTGATCTCCTGGATGCTCTCTGAGTCTGAGCTGTCACCATACGGCACTGAGATGCAGGGTTCTTTACAATTTGGAAGTGCTGGATTTTATCAGTGCATCTAGACTTTTTGGGCACTGTTTGAATAGGTTTCTTTTTTTTTTTTTTTTTTTTTTTTTCTCTAAATTTTTGGGGTGGGGGGGAATCGAACACATGACCTTAGATGCAAAGGTAAATGCTCTTAATCACTTGAGCTACAAGCCCCTTGCAGATTTCGGTCTTAATTGTTGATTTGAGTATTAATCTTAATTGCAATTCTAGCACTTGATTTACGCACAATGTATGCATTTATAAATAATAATAATAATATAGGACTTAATTTATTGCATGCAGGTCTTTCAGGGTTTGCAATAGGTAAAGGGAGGGGGATAAAATACCATATCAACTTGAAAATCTGCAAAATTGAAGTATCAAATGAAATTTACAATCTTCACTTCTTCCCATTTCAATCATTTTCCCCCCTCCCCTGAAGCAAAGACACAAGGAATGAAAAATTTGCTGGTTTCGGTGAGAGAATTGTGCAATGAAATTTTTGTGGAAATTTTAAGTAAAGGCATAAGGGCATGTGCTGTCCACCTATGCAAGAAGAAAGAACATGAAAAAAGAAAGAAAAAAGAAAAAGAGTTCAGAAACAATAAGAAAAGAGGAGCTGCAAGCTCCCTCTCTTTCTCTCTCTGTGTCAAGGCTTATGAAGATATCTTCCAGCAACTAATGCAGCTTCCATGACAAGAGTTATAACTTCAACAACATCTTGAACGTGACATGTGTTCCCATTAAACGTTTTCCCTTTTGAGTTTCTGAATTCGGCCATGCAATTTAGGAACTGTTGGCTGCACTCTGAGCTTAGATAATCATCTGCACCACAAACCACAACACCCCAACATAAGAAATGAAGAAAAACAAAAGACAGAGGCTAGCTTTTTGTATTAGATCATGTACACAGACAGCTTACCCCAAAACAAAATTTAGAATCTTTTTTTTTATCAACCACCTAATTAAATATTACTACCATCCAAAAGATTAGTTTTGTTTTAGTTGGAAAGCTTTGGCTGCACCTAATCCTATCTCTGTACCACACCACCGACAATACAAAGGCACACCAAATTGTCTGTCCGTAGTTTACATCTTGTGAAGAATCAAAAGTGTGCATGATATTTCCTTGACTGAAGAAATATTACTTCAAATCCATGGTTGCTGGTTAGACATTATTGTGCATCTCATAGCTGTAAATGGGGCCCATCTCTAAGAATTACACCACTTGTGATGAAAGAAAGAAATCATCTTTACCAACCATTTATTTATTTATTTATTTTTTTGCTTTAATTTTTCCAACCCATGGAGAAAACAAAAAAAATTGAAGAACAATCCCAGCAGAGCAGAATAAAATTGTAAAATAATTTGGAGGATTAAGAAATGAACTTACTGTTCTTAGATTGAACGCAGGCATCATGCTTCATGCAGCATTCATCAAGGCCATCACAGGGTTCCTCCCCTGGACATCCGCTGTACAAGAGTCCACAATACTTTCCATATCTTAAAAATGGAGGCACTGTCACCCAAAATTAAAAACAATAAAAAGAAATTAAATTCACAAAAAAAAAAGGGGTGATTTAATTTAGTGGGATGATTAACTAAATTTAATTAAAATAAAATTAGTACCTGTACAGAACTCTGACTCACACTGTCTACTGCAATCTTTACTCTGCAAATTTTTAGCATTTATAGGAAGAGAGAACATATGTTATGATTTAAAAGCAACTGAGAACCAAAAGAATATATATTAAAAGTAAGATGATGAAGAAGATTAAGAAGATGATGGCAAGGAGCAAACCAGAACAATAGAGGCATCTGTGGCTTGAACACCAATGTTAAGGGCATTTACATGGATGGAATCAAAGTAGAGGACAAGAAAAGAGAGGGCAAGAACACACTTCAAGGACTGCTTAAGAACCATGGTTGGGAAAAGCAAGCAGAGAAAAATGCACTGAAATTTGAGGGGCTTGCTTTTGCAAATAAGGCTCTGAATTTTATTATTTTTATTTTATTAGAAAAGAGTGGCAGAGAAAGTGAGAGGTGTGGAAAATAGCTGAGAAGGCTATGTGTAGCTACGGGGAGGAGTGAGACGGGGGAAGAGAAGAGGTTGGCTTTGTCGTGTAATGACTCGTGATATGTTTTTGTAGTGTTCCTTCACACCTCTTACCAAAATCATACACATATTTTTAATCTTCTTTTTTCCTTTTTTTTTGTTTTTTGGTTTTCTTTGAATTAAGGGACTGAACCGTTTTTGTACTGGGAATAATGCTAGAGGGCTGAGGGACTACATTTTTCAACTATATTAGCAAAATATATTGTGTGGCATGAAAATATTTAGCTGTAAGTCGTTCTTATAAATCACAATAACACGTGCATAACCTGTGATTTGTAATTAAAAAAGCAAGTGCTCCTTACGTGTAAGAAGCCAAATAATGTTACAGAGAAAAGCATCTACGAGATTATTTTTGACTATGTGTAAGTGTTAGGTGACGGGTCCATTACATTTGAACACGTGTAATCTTTTAATTGAATAATTTTCTCTAATAGATATTTGTGGGTGACTTTTTTTATGGATGTTTGTGAGTAGTTGTGGGGTCCATTTCTTGTGGGTGTGAACACTTCCCTGCTTTTGCAAGAAAAGAAAGGGGAAAGTGATAGAAAACTTTACTAGTTGACTTGTTTATCTTGGATAGTTCCTAGTTGCCAAGTTACAACTTGCTTCTGTACGAACTATTTGCTGCAAACTGCAGTTTATGTGTCAAGTTGTAGAATCTTTTTTTCTTTTTCCTTTTTCTTTTCCTTTTTCCTTTTTTTTAGTATAAGTGATACTCTAAACCACAGCAAAAGAAGAATTTCTCACAAATACACAACTAAGATGCTATGAGTATGAGGGTTGGAACCTGAAACCTCTTATCCTGTTGGCTCCTCTCTGTTCTATATGTTTGCTTCACATGTGCAACGTCTAAAATTTTTCTTTGTTGGATATAGGTTGTAAAAATGATTTATTGGGCCTAGAGCTTTTTGGGTCGGCCTGAGAAAGACTACGCCTGGACCCCATAAAATCTAAATCCATTCAAACCCAACCAAAATACTCGAACCCTATCCAAAACATTGATCTTTTCTCAACTTTCTTTTGCCATTGATTTTTGGGTTTCTAAACTATAAGCTTGAAGTTTTTTTGGTTTTTACTTTCAATTTTTATACGATAGTGTTAGGAACATCAGACATATTTTATAGAATATTTTAGCACATATCATTTTTTTTTATTATAAATTAAATACCACGAGATGTCCCCACATCTGAAGGGTGAGATTAATCCTCGCTCGGGGTTCGGGTTGCCCCTAGTCACAAAGTACTTCCAACGGATTTCGAACCCCTACCAATTGTGGCACCAGGTAGCTTGCCAACTGGAGGCCATCATATTTTAATCAAGCAAGTTGTAGCTAAGTTTTTTGTCTTTAAAAAAACAAAGTTGCGATCTAAAAAAATTAAGGGAATCAACTTATGACATTTCTCACCACACCAAAACCAAATAATATTCTAGACGGCATGGCAGAAACAGGTAAAACTCAGAATAGATGTATTATATGAGTTTTACTACTCACCTGAGCAGTGTCATTCTCAGCAAGGCTTCGACGGACACCCTCCCCCAAAAGATATTCGCCGGACAAAGCATCGGCCACGCAAGAAAACATAACCAAGGCAGCAAAGCCTAGAGGAATAACACCACCATTGAGGCCCATGATGTCAGATATTCTTGCATTGGCCATATTGGGGTGGCCTCTGTAACATAGAAGGACCTCAAGGAAGAACCCAAGCCCTTCTATGTAGGGATTTTGTTTCTAAAAATCCTTTTCAACTATGGAAATGCATGCCTCTATATAACCATTGCCAAGTTTGTCTCTCCTGCTTCTCTCTGCCTAAAAATAGCCCCTCTATATGTCCATTTTTAGAAGCTCCCAGCGGAAAACTATCCAGAAAAAGATGATGATTATTTCTATGTTTAGTTATGTCCTTAACTTCTGGCAACCTAGTCTCATCTGGAATAGCAAGGCGAAGACCTTTTTTAGGTAAAATTGGGTGCTCGAGCCCAAACAAAAGAGGATTTCTACAAAATAAATTAACAATTTTTTTTCTTTCTATTATTCCTATTATACCTTGTTTCACGCACTATGTGACGATTTCCTTTTTATATTTAAAACGGGTTGGACCAGATTTTTATTGGTAGCGGAAGTTAAAAACAAAAAAATTTAAAATGAAATTCTTTATATAATCAATCCCCAAGTTTAAAATGTTGTTTATCAATAGCCTTACACAAGTTTCACAGAGCAGCTAAATTCAAAAACGCAACTCCCCTTTTCCATCAAAGGGTACTTTCAGCTATTGTGAAATGGAGTTACAAGAGCTCTACCTTTCCATCAAACGGTACTTTCAGCTACGGTGATACGAAGTTACCAAGAGTCCATCTCACGTAAAAACGACAAAGTTAATGGGGATATTTGGATGCAGTGCCTGTATTGCTTATTTGCTATGGATTTTAGACTATTTTAAAGGGTTTTTTCTATTTTTAATAGGGTTTTGTTTTCTATTTATTGTAAACTTGTAGTCCATAAGCTTATGAGTATAAATAGGATTTTTGGGGGTGTGGGAGGAAAATAATTCACTAGCGATCCGTCACATCACGGGATCAGATTTAGGCACAACCCAACGTAGGTTTAGATGGGCATTGACCCAATGTGGGTTCACACGCGCGAAAGCCCAACATGAGCTCAGATTGGGGTTGATCCAATATGGGTTCGTATGCACATAAGCCCAACATAAGTTCATATGGACATTGGCCCAATATAGGTTCGCATGCGCGTAAATCCAATGTGATTTTGGATGCGCACCGCCCAACACGGGTTCGGATATGCATCACTCAACGTGGGTTCACAAGCGCATTATCCCATGTTGACTCATGTACAAGTGGCCTGACATGGGTTCGTGGGTATATTCAAACGCCCGCACTCCCCAATCCACATAAATCGAGGGACAACGTGAACACGGCTGGGAATTGATAACGCACAACTCACATTAATCGGAAGTGGCGAAAGTGGACATAAGACGTGCAAAGTGAGGCTTGCATCCCAAGTCTATCATCAAGTATAAATGTGAAGTTCCACAACCAGAGAAAGGTATGCAATTTCAAATTAATTGGTGCACTCAAATACATACAAAAATTGACTTGAGCGTCGAAGTATCTTTTGCAAGTACCCATCCCTCTCTCATCTAATTTCGAAGAAGTGTTGCTTGGAGATTTATTTATCTTGTGTGCGGAGTAAAGCCAAGAACCTTTGGAAGACATTCTTATTGTAAGAATCTCTGCTCTAACAGTTAGCGCCGTTTGTGGGAAGTTCAACGGAGCGCATCATGATGGGATCGGCCCGAAGATGAACCTGGAATGAACGCATCTGTAGGATCTGAACTCAATCCAGCATTTGTCTGCTGATCAACATATGGTCTCTGCCCTGGACCTAATTGAGAAGCACGTTTCAACGGGTTGGGTAATGGGCCCGACATATCAGATAGCCAGGATTTGTCAGGAGAATAACCACCGCTATCTTCTTCCTCTTGAGCATGTCTTTCTACGTAACTCATTCGGATGCGATGCAAGGAATCCTCCTCGAATTGGAGAGCTCGATCAAAGTTGACTATATGACCTACTAATTCTGTCTAATGTAGATCCGCACTAAGATCAACCCCAAGGTAAAATGGGTAGACAATTCTATCTCGATCTTGAGAAATATGAAGAAGCGTGTTGGGATCGAGGAAGTACTGAACGTCCCAATCTTGACCCACCAAGTGGCGGTTCAGCCACTGAATCCGCTCATAAGTAAAGACAATCTCCGAACGGGTTGGGTTGGGCACTACAAAACAAAAAAACCATTCAATAAGTTTCCTCTGAAAATTCGTATCATAATCGGTATCAGTAGAGCAGTCATAATCAAGAATACCAGGTTCAGGCCCGAACGATGAAGGAATAGAAATACAAGACATCTCAGAGGCCGCCCAATTCCCGGTAATCATCAAGGGTTAGGTCTTCCAATCTTTCGCAGAAGACGGTTTGTAGCCGAAGAATTTACGGGTAGGTCGAGGGGTTAGGTAGAAATACTTAGTCTCATATCTAACCATGGCAACATAATGGTGGTAGAAGAAATCTAAGAACCCTAGTGACACCCCCCCTCCAAATTTGAGGCCAACTGCCAACATACCACTAATCAATAAGTATGAGTTCAGATTTAACTGCATACGGTGGAGGTTCAAAGAATTCAACAACAGGTGAAATAATAGGAGAAGCGGAAACCTAATAAACTCTAGGTGAGATGGTGAGAGCACTAAAGCTCCCTTCGGGATTCCAACCACTGTTTACATATTCGCTCCCTTAGGTATCCGACCGATAGTAACGTTGTCAGGAATGCGGAATTTCTCCCGCATCTTATTTATCTCAAGCCTCGAGGGATATCCCACCTTTGACTTCGGCTAAAGGTTAAGTCTCGACATCGAAGTAATTAGAAAGCAAGCAGATGAAATGAAAGTTGAATGAGATAGGCAACTTGAGGAGGGGGTGTGTACCGCGAAGTCAGTTTAAATGTGAGTTGGGTTCAGAAACCAGCGTAACCCAAACTGGATAAATAAGACTTGAGGGGGTTCAGCTTAGTCAAAACACAACCTCGGATTGAAAAGACTCGAGTCGAGTAAGTCTCCTAAGAAGTCAAACATAAAGATAATCATAAGTCAACCATAGCTTCAAATAAGCGTAACTAAGGAAAATCCTTTTTAGAGAAAGCAAGTTGGTTATTCACGTAGACTCAAAAATGGTATGAGTGATACCACGGAGCAATTAAAGAGTGTAAATTCCAAGTTTAGACAGACCAAAACAATTATAGAGACATAAACTATGGGCAGTAAGCATGAGTGCACCATCATTATTATCGTTCACTGACGTATTACATGTACGGGTTAATTAGAAAATTGCACAGTATGCATATGTCAATTGACTTTAGTTTGTAAATCTACTAAGCCAGCTGCACCTAGAACATATTATAATTAAGGTGAACAGTGTCCCACGCCAACTTCACTTTACTTATTAATTTTATGTGTTTTGGGAAGCACAGATGATTGGTACAACACCAGTTGTATAGTAGGTGTCAGCATAAGGTCAACGTCAGAACTTTTGATATTATTATTACATATTCCCCATGGAACGTATATAGTAATGTATACATATATATAACTTTGCCTTATATACATATACATATATATATATATATATATTAATATATGCACATGCATACTACAGGTAGTAGTGTCTACATATCGCTACCAATATATATAATAATATATATGCACATAGTACACACATTATATTTCCTTCATGTATACATATGTTCTTCACTTGCATACAAGTACGTAAACATGTAACTTTATATATATGTTCATCACAACTGAATTAGTACGAATAGAAGTGCATGGGTTATTGCATATTCAGTTGGTACCTGAACAAAGAAATTATTGACGATGAAGGAAACCACAAAGAAGAAGAATGGTTGGTGATGGATCTGGCAGAATACAGATTACATAAAGAAAGCAGCACCCAGGTGTGGACTTGTTTGTAGGCCAGCCGTAGGGAAGTACCAAAACATCGTTCATATAAGATGACATACAATCGAGCAAGAAGCCAACGCAGATTTTGAGGGATTTTTCCTATTCTCCTTTCACTTATTTATTTATTTCTCTTTTCTTTTGTCTTCCTTCTTGTTGCCTCTGCAATATATTCATCTTCTTTTATGATTGGAGAGGGAAATGCAAAACTCTAAAGGAGAGGGAGGAGTACTAAATTGGTGTCAGGAACAGGTTTTGAAAAGCTAAATTGTCAGGTTCATGGGAAATCCATTATTTTTTGGAAATCCTCCACGTACATAGTGGGCTATGTGGGGAATCTTGTCAAAGTGATGGACATGCAATTGTCAGAATTGAAATAAATTTATTGCCACATTACCAGCTGGTAGGTACTCAAGTATGCTATTGTCTATACTCAAGCAAAAGTGTCTTCCCCATTTTCGATAGTAATTAATAGGGTTTCTTGTCTTATTGTATTTGACATATTGGACTTATGTAGATATGCTGTGCCTTAGTGATCTTTTATGACATTGTTAACTGTCATTGCTGCCTTGTTGATCGGCAAGTCATGTACAAGTTTTTGTCCAATGGTCCAAAAGGGCAAGGATAGTATCCCAAAGAGAGTATCAGCTAAGTTCAGTTTTTCCCTTAACCCACACACTAAGTGCGATTGGGAAGAGGAAAAAATGGGCAATGTAAGAGCAAAATAATTCGCTACCGACGGGATCAGATTTAGGCACAACCCAACATAGGTTTAGATGGGCATTGGCCCAATGTGGGTTCGCATGCATGAAAGCCCAACACGAGCTCGGATTGGGGTCTATCTAATATGGGTTCGTATGCACATAAGCCCAATGTAAGTTCATATAAACATTAGCCCAATACATGTTCGCATGTGCGTAAACCCAATGCGATTTCGAATGCGCACTGCCCAACACGGGTTCGGATATGCACCACTCAACGTGGGTTCACAAGCACATTACCCCATGTTGACTCATGTATAAGTGGCCTAACATGGGTTCATGGGTATATTCAAACGCATGCACTCCCCAATCTGCATGAATCGAAAGAAAACTTGAACACAGTTGGGAGTTGATAATGCACAACTCACATTAACCAAAAGTGGCGAAAGTGGACATAAGAAGTGCAAAGTGAGGCTTGCATCCCAAGTCTGTCATCAGGTATAAATGTGAAGTTCCACAACTAGAGAAAGGTATGTGATTTCAAATTAATTGGTGCACTCAAATACATACAAAAATTGACTTGAGCGTTGGAGTATCTTTTGCAGGTACCCATCCCTCTCTCATTTGATTTCAAAGAAGTGTTGCTTGGAGATTTATTTATCTTGTGTGCGGAGAAAAGCCAAGAACTTGTGGAAGACATTCTTATTGTAAGAATTTCTGCTCCAAGAGGGGGCCATGTTAAAGTGAGAGAGATCACAAAGGCATCAAATTGGGTTTGTGTTTCCTCCATTGATGAATCCCTAAGTGATGTTGATTGATATCATGATCTCCAAATGATTTGCCACAGTTAATAGCCCTTTGTATTTACCAAAATAGTCTCAGTAAAAGTCATCTGTGTTATGTGTATCACATTCTTTACAAGATGTGAGAGAAATTGAGATCTAGTGTTCATAAGAGCCAAGAGGTTAGCCCAAGTATTCTTATAGTTTTAAGGACGTTAGTGTGTTGGAGATGATGGAGCTAAAACAGCCGCCATTCACCGACAAAGATAACTTTACATTATGGCAAGAAGGAGGAGGAACACCCTAGGCCACCTAGGTCTCAATGTTTGTCTTGGCAGGCAAAGACATGAAGCTAGAAACCATGACATTGGAGGAGTGGGACACGGTCAGTGAGTTGGGTAGGGGTTCGATTGAGAACTATATAGCCGATGAGGTTATATTCAATATGATTGAAGACATTGCGAAGCAAACATTGAAAAAGCTTGAATATATGTATGTAGGAAGGTCACTTTCAAACAAAAACTTTTCTTGAAGGATGAACCCCTAAATCTTCGAATGGAAGAGGGTGGAGATCTCTTGGACCATTTAAACACCTTTAATAAGTGTGTTGCAGACTTGTAGAGAATGGAATTTATTTATGTATGGAAGATAAGGCTATTTTTGTCTTGAGATCCTTACATTCATCATACAAGCACTTCAAATTTGAGGAGGTTGTGAAAGATATTCTCTTCCGTCATAGGATAAATGATGGGGAGAGCTCTCAAGGTGAAGGTCTAGTTGCAAAGGTCGTTGAGAGGGATCGTTCAAGTAAGCATGAAGGTAAGAAAGGTAACATGAGCATGTCAAAATTCAAGGCTAAAGATGGTTGTTTTGAGCGTGGGTCAAAAGAACACTAGAAGAAGAATTGTCCCACATGGAAAGAGAATAGGAACAAAAGGAAGAAGTCAGCGGGTACAGTGGGGGTTGCCATGGATATCGACGGTGAGCTTTTATGTGTTGATAAAACTAATAGTAATTTATTTTCTATATCTTCTTGGAGATCCTCTTCTTGCTGGATTTTGGATTCTGGGTGCTCATATCATATGTGCTCAAACAAGGAGTGTCATTACACATATGAGAAAGTCGATGGTGTTGAAGTTGTGATAATGGACCACTTAGTTTGTAAAGTCGAGGGCACATGCATGATTAAGCTTAAGTTGCATTATGGCATTGTTAGGACATTGAGGATGGTAATATATATTTCAAGTTTGCATAATAATCTAATTTCCCTTGGGACTTCTGATAAAAATGGTTACATGTACAAAGCCATGAGAGGGAAAATCAGTCTCGAAGGGAATATGAAAACATTGAAAAAAACAACCCAACCACAAGGGGCAGGAGAAGAAGATGTTACGTAGTGGTGGGTGGCTATTTTGAGATATGGAGATGGGGCGTATGGCTGGGGCTGGTGGCTAAAACAAAATATTATTTTATTAATTTCTATTTCTATTTTTCCAATTTGTAAAAAAATTTAGATAAATTGAAGTTAATATGAAGGTCAATATATTTAATAAGGAAAATCTTGGAAAACAAAAGCTATGCATTAATGACATTGTTTTAGTACAAAGAAAGTGACACATGACATGAGGAGAAGGGAGAAGGTCCAAAAAAGAAGGTTAGAGAGAAGGTTGCTAACCGATTCAAAGCTTAGAGCACTTCCACCAGTTAGCCCCTTGCCATGGAAAGGGGAGCCCTAGGACAGCTACTATTCACGTGAATAGTGGTTGCCCTAGCTCCCCCCAGCAAATGTGTGTTTCCAGCAGTTAGCCCCTTGCCATGGCAAATACTATTCATTTTTTTGTTTCTTTCACAACTTTGTTTATTTAAACAATTAATTTGGATAATATTTTCGGATAAGATTTTTGGGTTCCTACGTGTCAATACTATTCATATCGGATAAGATTTTCGGTTTCAAATTTCAGATACATTTCAAAATTCAAATTTCAGATAAATTCAAAATTTGAATTTCAGATACATTTCGAAATTCAAATTCCAGATAAATTTCCAATTCCAAATTTCATATAAGATTTTCATCCTCCAAATTTCATTCGAACCAATTACCCTTTCACAAAAATCCTGATGAATTTTTTTCCACATATGACAGAATTTCATCTCATTGCCCCTTACAGGACAATGACTAATGTGGAGCCAAGACTCACACAAGCTAACATCTTCCATGACGCTCCATGCCTCTCCGGTTTCACTAGAAGAACCCATAAATTTTTCTAGAAAAATTCAACTTCAAAGTGAAAAAAATATTGACTACAAAGTGAATAATGGTAGAATGAGAAGAAAATGTATGAAGAGTTGGTGTTAAAAGTGAAGAGTATTGGTTGGTATTTATAGGAAAAAAAATCAGTATTTTTTGTGTATTTTTTCAAATTTTTTTCGATTTTTTTTCATGTTTTTTTGGGGCAGAATAACAGCTGTCGTTGGATTACTGGAAGAAATGAATCGGAGTGCCCAGAGCATCGCCACATGGAAGAGAGCCGTTGGGTGTGAGTTTCAATTTTTTTTTCATTTTTATATTTCGCGAAAAATGGCTGCCGTTGGATTTGGAATAAAGTGGATCCGACAGCTGCTGGGAGCACGACGTGGAATAGACCCGTTGGGGGGTCACTGTAGCAGGCGCGTCAATTTTTTTTTAAGGTTGGCGCGTGTTAAAAAGTTTTATACAGCAACGCTAACATCAGGCCAAAACAAGTTTTTCTACTCAGGCTGAACCTCCCCAAGGGCTAGCCCAGGCAGATTTTTTTTGCTGGGGCCCACACCTTGCCCTGGCAGATTTTTGTTGCTGGAAACACCATTTTGGGCTTGGCCCCCCCCCAGCCCTCACCCAAGGCCCCTTGCTGGAAATGCTCTTAAGGGGCAACATTGGAACAAAAAATGATTTTAAAAAATAAAAATAAAAAGATTACATCATAAAATATTTAAAGAGGAATGTAATCCTATATGGTACAAAAGTCAAAGGACTTGTATCAAAGTCACCAAATCCGAGGATTAAACTCATCTTCTCAATGAAAATTTGGATCTATATCAACTTTTATATATTTTTTTTTATGTACTCGACGACATGGAAATGTCAGTTGTTCAATGCGTCCACCTTCTTACACCCATGTTTGAAACTCTCTCAAAAGATTATAGTAGTTTAGAGTAGTTTAAAACTATCGCTCATATCCAAAAGCATTTCAGTTACAGAAGTTTCCATGCTCTACCTCCATCCATATTGAATTTTTTAAGTCTTCCGAAAAACATAACTGCTATGAGAACTAATTTACCCTGATCGCTCCATCTTCCTGAAAATCCATACCATTTATCCTGGCAATCGCCATTAGGATGGATCTGTCGTTTACAACTATAGCCAGTAGTAAACCCCACATTTCCATAAGCGCTGTGGGAAACAAGATAATGGTAATAAATTAGCGAAATTGCAAAGGGCAAAATGCATTGTAATATTTTAAAAGAAAATTAAACCAACACACACAAGTAACAAAATCTCAGTTGTAAGCAGTATTGGTGGAGCCCTTCTTTTCAAAGAAATACTCAACAAGGGTTACTGAAGATTTATCTGGTTTCATATAGCGGATTTACCTGATGACTTCAATCACGATATTCAACACACTGAAATTGAGGGGATCTTCCTTCATCTGTTTCCTCTCAGTTATGCATACTAGGATGATAAAGATGGCCAGATACGAGAGCTGTGAGAATATGAGATTCTCCACAACCTTTCCCCTTCTCGTTTTCCTCCTTTCATGAGGTTGTAGAGGATTTTGATCATCATCTTTTATGGGAAGGAACGAAGTGTAAGGAGGAAGGTACCTTCGATTAAAACAAGAATCATTTATCAGAGAGAAAAAAAAATAAAAAAGCTCATGAATTAATAATATATATCAACTACTCTAATTTAAAAGGAGGGGGCATTTGAACTCGAGTAGTGCAAGGTAGTGTCCTAACCAACTGACATAGTTTCAAAGTTTCAAGGCTACGTGTAGGGGACCTTAATTAATTCAACAGAAGATCCATCTAGTTCCAATAAAAACTGAGTTGAGATGTATCTGTTAGTTCTGTCATTGATGAGATGAGATTCAAATATTTAAGAGAGAGAGAGAGAGAGAGAGAGAGAGAGAGAGAGAGAGAGAGAGAGAGAGAGAGATTGAAAGAAGCATGTAATTTGAGGTGAGTCTGTCTCATATATTATTGTGATGTCTTTAGTTAGTGGCAAACTAAGGAACCAACAAAACCTAACCAAAAGTCATCATCTTCTTCTATAATTTTAGTAGAAATGCATGTGGGTCCCTTTCCCCTAGGCCTAGGCTGAGTTGGTGCCTCTAAGTGAGGATCTTCACCTGCTAGCATATGCTTATTTAATATTTCATTTTCTTTGCCTCTTTTGGCAACTTGGCTATGAGGACTAGTTTTTTTTTTCATTCCTTGTTTTTTGCCCTTGTCATCCACAATGTGTGGAAAAAGAGCTAACTAGTCCAACATTTTCTTGTTTACTAACTAGTTTATCACTCTTACATGTTGGGATTATTATTAATTCTGTGTCATGTACTTCAATGTTTTTTTTTATATCATTAAATTAATAAGTTTTTTTTTTTTTTTTTTTTTTTTTTTTTGTTTGGGGGGGGGGCAAAAATCATTAAGTTCCATATACTAAAAACCAAATCACATGATGAAGCGACAATTAGTATGTTACAAAGTAATAAAAATAATTTTTACGACAGTCTAATATGTTATATTATAAAAATTATGATTAATTATAATAATCATAGGACTATAGATGTAAACGCGATTCTATTTAACTAATAATTATTATGATTGGCAATTGGACAGCAAACATGTTCGTCAAACAAGAAGATTTTTCTTACTTGTATGTATGTATAGATAATAAATAGATAGATGCATGGATGGATGGATGGAAAGAGAAAGAAACTAACATCATCACGACGAATAATACCAAGATGGCCGGAGAAATGATCGAGAGGTCGACAATAGTTTCACCGGTATGTCTTGAATTCACACTTTGAAACAAAGCGCCAATGATTTTCTGGTAAGAATTCAGGCCACTTAAGCTGTCTGAACTCCACTCCAAGGACAAAAATGCTACCAACTGTACCATGATGAACCCGAAAACTGTGACAACCAAAAGTGAAGAATGGAGACTTGGAAGCAAGTGGAGGAACCCAAGTTTCCTTGTGTTCTTCAAAAGGTAATTACATAAGTGTTCTTTCTTTTTGAAAATTTTCCCCAAAACCCGAATCGAAAATCTCAAGCATGAGGGAAGCAATGTGTTGCCCAAAAGGACTTGAGGAATGAGAATGAGGAGGAGGCCTGAGTTTTTGCTGAAGACCATCATGTTTTCATTGGTTGGAACAAAGCCACAGCTTGAGAAGGTTGAAACTGTGGTGAAGAAAGAGAATGTGTGCATGTTTAGCCCCTTGTTTTTTAGTACATTTCTTGCACTTGAAATAACTGCTAGATAAAGTGAAACCATTAGCACCCCAAGACCATGAATCACTAAAAGATAACCTACAACCACACAACCCAAAAACTTGATTGAATTAAACTTCAAAGATTCACCATCTAATGGTTTATCAATTTGGTCCTGATCATAAACCTCCACACCCAAATTTAAGTCTTTGAATTCAGGCTTGGATGCCAATGAGCCCAATTCAACATGATCAAAAACAATATTATTTGTGGGTGTTGATGAAGGACTAATATCACTGCTGGCTGAAGCAACTTTTTCTTTTGTTAGCAGCATGAGCTTGAACTTCCACAGCTGAAGTCCAACCATGGAGGTAAAGACCTCCCCACCTATGAACATCAAAATGGTTAAAATGATGAGCTGGGCATTGGAGAAAACCTCCATTTCAACGGTGGACATGCTAGAAACAGTTGAGGCAGAGACAGAGGTGAAAAACAAATCTAAATTCCTAGGCCGAAAAGAAGGATCCGTTCTTGACTTCAAGGCCTTGAGAACCCCAAAACCAAGAAAGGAGAGGGTGACAAAATAGACTAGCTCGATCCAAAATGGCTTTGCCCTACGGAGGACGAACCGATAATAACATACAAGTAGAAAACCAATGGATTTGCTAAGACAGGCTAGTTTGAGAAATGAACAACTGCAAAGATGTTGCAATTTCTTGCCAAAACAAAGAAAGTTGTTCATCTTTGCTTAGTAATTGCTTTGAAAGATACTTTCTTGTGGCATATGGTTGTGCGTATAGGGTGGGGGTATTTATATATGAAGGAAACGTTCTTGATGGATTTTTTTCTTCTTCTTCTTCTTTCTTATTTATTTAAAATTGAACAATAACTTGAATTCAAAATTTCCTCGAAAGCAGTGAAGATTTCCTCGCAAACAACGAATACTTGAGCCATTATATGTCAAATGATGATTGATTTCTTTATAGAATTTTAAGACACGTGGATGAGAAACAAAATAAAAAGAATATGCTATACGTGTGTGAATATTATGGGCTCGTTTGAGACTGCTTCTTTAGAAAGTACTTCTACTCATAAGCGTTTCTAACAAAGGCGCATTTATTATAAAATTTTTGAATTTTCATAAATAAATAAAAATCCAAGTGCTTTCTGGAAAAGTATTGGAAGTGCTTCCTGAAGTCTCCAAAAAGCGCGTCTAAACTTTTTTGTCAAACACTGTCATAAGTGTTTTTAATTGTCATAAAGCGATTTTAGCCTCACTTCCAAGCAGGCCCTACACGTCTAACGATATGCAATTGAGGGGGTGCTATAGGGTATTCCTATATCCAATACTTACAAATATAAAACTGAATGATTGAGGAAATAATAGAGGTTCACGTGGAGTAATATATATATATTTTTTAATATCATAGTTTCTTTCATTTGATCAAATATTAATGTAACGGTACATCATCCAATTGTACGACTTGGTCCATTGCATAAAACATGCATATTCATGGTACATCACAACATGAATTTTGATGAGACATGTTTAGAAATTTTATTGCCATATTCACAGAAGATAGTTTTTATTACCAAATCACGTACGTAGTTGTTAGGGATATAACTAAATAAGGGAAATTAAAGTCTTTTTTAATTAATAAGGGGTTTATAACTTAAGTGGTTAAGAGCAGTTATCCTGCATCGAAGGTCCTGTGTTTGAATTCTCTCCTCCTCTAGTATCACTTGTATAAAAAAATATATATATACAAATCTCTCTTATTAAAAATCACCTCTAAATTCACATACACACACACAAAACTTGTCTATCTTAACCGTACAATACGACGTGCGAAAAACTAAACGCAACGCTTGAGCATCCAACATCCCGCTTGAACCTCCAGAGCACATAATCATTTCATGTAGCATCACACCTCTAAAAGCCAAATCACTAAAGCAAGTAAACCAAGTTTGAAAACCCCCGAAACTTGACCCTCTCATCTCTTGAAATATACTCTGTTGAGCCACGACTATGTGGCACACGTAGGGCTAGGCATCTCTACCGAGAAACCTATCAAACCGGACTAGTTAAACTGGTTTGGTCTGATCTTCTTTATTTTATTATTTGAAAATTAGGTTCCCTACCGAGAAACCTATCAAACCGGCCTAGTTGAACTGGTTTGGTTCGATTTTTTTTATTTTATTTTTTGAAAATTAGGTTGTGAACTGGATTGAATTGGAATCTATTGTTCAGTTCACGGTTTAGCTTTTCTCAAACCGCAGGTTCACCTAAACTGAACCGGTCATTTGTGATGATGATAGCGGAGTCAAACCCGTATCCTTCATTTTGAAGCGAAGCCGTCATACCACTAGACTAACTGCCTTACTAGAAATGTCAAACAATAATAGTTGATAATTTCTTATACCTAATATTCTTCTCCTTGTTAAGGTAAATAATATATAAAGTTACATTGTGTGTTGTACAAGAAAAGTAATTAAAACCTATTTACACTCTAATAGTGGTCAGCTATACAAATTAGGTAATGAATTCCTAATTAGTAATATACAACTCGTAACAATATTTCCCTTCAATTTAGTGTAAAGATATCTCGTATGCCTAACTTGTTAAGAAAGATGAAAAACATTCTACTATAGACTACTTTAATAAGTACATCAGATCAGCTAGTTGATCTATAATTTTCACAAAAGGAAATATAATTATTTGTGCTTCTAACTTTTCCTCGATGAAATGTGGGTTGACTTTACTGTTTTTTGTACGGTCATGTTGCACTAGATTATGTGAAATATCAAAAGCAACCTTATTATCACAGTGTATACTCATGGTTTTTCTCGGGCTCGAACCTATAACCCTCAACAAACTCTTTAGCCAAAGTAACTCAGGAACTCCATTGATCTAACTTTGATTCAATCGTATACACATCCAAATGGCATAAAATTTATTGTAGATTATAGGCACATAATTGAATTATCTGGATAGGTACATCATTGAACTATCTAAACCAGGCAACAAATATAACGTAAGTCCATTATCAAAATAAAACATATATATACACATATAATACGTGAGTTTATACAATCAGCTCCATTATTAGTTGGTCACTGGGTCCCTTGTGTTCTTAAATGATGCAATGTCATCATGTGCCCCGAGTTCAGTGACTTTGATCATAAACTAACAGTATATGGGTACCACGGTAGTACTATAATTTTGACCAACTATATGTTTTGATTTTCTAGCAAGTTTTTCCACGTCTCTCTCTCAGTTTGGTGGCAATGGTTTCAGCCGCATTTATGCAGTCTAAGTTTATGCAAGTTTTGTAGTTTGTAGTCTAATTTAGACTTAACAGTGTTAAATTGTAATTAATTAAATGGATAGGTGTCAAAAGTTAAAAATTAAATTGTCGTATCTTGAATCATTAGATTATTAGAATGGTTTAGATGTCTTAGATGTCTCGAAATGCGAGTAAATGCACAATGTTTAAATGTAGAGGTTCGGGATCCCTCTATGAAAATTTTAGTTTATTTTTCCTTTTTAATACAACACGAGTCATTTAATACAAATTTTCGCCCGTAATTTTTTGGAATATGTTAACTGATCTTATTGTATATCATATCTCTAATGTATAAAGTGAGACCCAACGCAAAGAATACTTGTAGCTCAATTGATTAAAAGTATTTACTCTTGAACTCGATCAAGATCCTAAGTTTACCTTCACCTTTCCCTGATACCGCTTGTATCAAAAATAAGGTGAGACCTAGCTGGATAGATTCCATATATATATTAGAGCAATGCTATATACCCAATATGCTCAATCGAGAGAGATGATTGAAATAATTTATTTCTGCAGTTTTATTCAGATTAATCTCATGACATGCGGCATTATATATATACAAGTCAACAGCAATAATTAGTTATTTTCAACTTCATATCTTAAACTACCTAGCTAGTATGCAAGATTTTTATTTTGTTTTCTAAAAACCTGGAATGTTTTAATATTGCAAATCCCAAAGGAACCATTCTAGATCAGATCACGATGCGACAAAATGGTACTTGGCAAGTATCATTTTCGTTTTTTGGGTTTAGGATTTGAAGCTAAGACTTTTTTAGTGAGCATCATCATGTTTGTACACGTGGCGAAAGTAAGGGAAAATTCAATGGATGATAAATTATCCTATCCATTAACTAATAATTGAAGACTACGGTAGTAATTAATATATAAAATGGTATTATTCCCACTCCTAGTTCGATCACCTTATCCCTTAATAATATTTTTTTTCATTGCAAATTATAAGAAATTATATATTTGAATTTTGAAGCCGTTTAAGAATGCTTCTGTAAGAAGTACTTTTGATAATAAGCGATTCTACTGAAAGCGGTTTTATAAGAAGCACTTTCCAAGTATTTTTATTGTATGGCATATGTAGAGCATGCGTGAATGACCAACCTCACTCTGAGATATCTTCCGTCTTGAAAGTGATTTGGCTTTTTTATATGATATCCACAGTATCTCTTGATTTGTAATTCAATACACAAATTAATTGATCATGTGAAACTTAAAACATAAAACTTGAAATTATTTCGCAAATGAGTGAAAAGGCTCATAATTATATATGTTATATTATATCATTTCGATTTGGAATTTTAACGTGGAGTTTTATATGCTGTAATGGCATGTGTACTAATTCGTAATCGAAATCAAAATAAGGAGTTGAATTTCTATACAAAGTACTCCTATGTTTACTTCACATGGAGGAATAAAAATGTAAGTTGGGTCTACACAAAATCAGGAATTCAACTCCTGATTTTGGAGGAATTGAACTCTTGGGTGGAATGTGGTATTCTAATTTTTGGATAACTAACCCATCTGGAATCTATCTTTTTACCCATTATATCCTCACACAATTTTTAAAATTCCAAATTTGTCATCTATTTTAACCCAATAACAAGAGCATTTTCGTAATCAATTTGGATTTCAATTCCGATTCATGGTAATTTAGTAAACAGTTTATAAGGAATCAGTACCACTCCTACCCCAATTTCATATAATTTAGTAAACAACTTCATAGGAATCCGGATTCTAACTCTCCTCAATTCAATTCCTTCTCATCTGATTATGGATTAGTAAACATAGTATAAATGTAAATGCCGATTATAACAGACAACGAATGTGTGTTGGATCTAGGAATAATGACTCGGAAATTAAGAAACTATAATTGGCAACATGGCACCATGTGTGCATACATATTGAGTGTGGAAAAGTATAGGAAGTAATGCGCATAATTGTAAAACCACATCACATGCATACATCTAAATTGCCATAGAAAATTCGAACACAAGAATAGTTGCCCACATGACGTACGGAATATATTTGAATTGGAATTAAAGTAGAAAAGGTCTTATAAAGTTGGTGAGTTTTGGTATTTAGTTTGTCAAGTCCATGTAGAGACAATTAAATGATTGCCATTGTTTATTCTAAAAGTCTGATTGATGATCGATGACCAAGGTGACAACATATGCAGTTGAATATTTAGATACCCCTCCGCGTACAAGCCGTGTCCACTATTAAGAAAT